CACGGAGGGGGGGCACTTGTGGGGATGAGCACTGGGTGTTATATGGAAACCAACTTGACAATAAACTATTTGTTAAAAAAAAAAAAAAGAATCCACATTAAATTTCTTACTGATTCTCCACATTCCATCCTACCCCAAATCTCTGACCTCTGTCCTGTGAAGTCTTTTCTTCCAGACAGGCTCTCTCCATGCACTGAACACCACCCATTCAAGAAAGAGTCTCAATTAATATTGTCCACAGAAATCCTGAAATTGAGTCCTGGGTCATTTTTGTGAACTTGGGATAGGGCCTAGGAGGGAGGAGTCAATCCCACCAGAACCACAAGTTTTAAGAACAAACTTAGGGCAGTTTCCCCTAAGAAAACTGAAGGTTGTCAGGGGAAATGGGGAAGACAAAATATCCTCTCTAGATTCCATTCTCAATAGCAATAGAACCCAAAATGTTAGAAAACACCTAAGAATATAGGACCTATTTGAAGGAAATCACAGGAGATCTAAAAAAAAAAAAAAAAAAATGAAAGAAGAGTTCATGTTCTTAGAAGGGAAGACAAAATGTTGTAAAGATACTACTTATTTCCAAATTAATATATAATCCAACCCCATTCTAATAAAAATCCTAAAGCAGTGTCTTAAGGGATTCTTTATAAAGTGTTTTTCAGAACTCACCTTAAGCAATTCACAAAAATTGTCAAGGATATTTTTTTTTTTTGCCAAGGATATTTTTAATGTTTGTTTATTTTGGGGGGGAGGAGAGAGAGAGAAAAGGAGAGAGGGAGGGAGGGGATCTGAAGTGGGTTCTGTGCTGATGACAGAGAGCCCAAAGTGGGGTCAAAGTCATGAACCATGAGATCATAACCTGAAAGGAAGTCAGACACTTAAGTGATTGAGCCACCCAGGCACCACCCCACCCACCTTTTTTTTTTTTTTAAGAACAGTGGGGAAGAGATTAGATTTAGACCACTAGATATTCAGGCATACATTAACATGTGGTAATTCAGACAGTGCTATTAGTCAAGGAAAAGGCAAATCAACAAAACAACACAATTTCAAATCAGTTGGGGAAAAAGTGGACTATCTGCAATGCTGACATATTTGTACCAATTCTTAGAAGAAATTAGACCTGTTTCATACTGTACTAAAAATCCCAAAATTGATCAGTGGCCCAGAACATAGAAGATTTCCTTTATAATCTTTGGACAAGGATGACCTTCCCAAAAAAGACCCAAACTCAAAAAGCCGTAAGGCAAAAATTTAGGATGATTTAATACTGGCAAGAGTGTACAGAGCAAAGCATTCCCTACCCTGGGGTAAGTTTAATGTATATAAACTAATGCAGAATTTCTTTCTAGGATTCTCTCCTACAGACATAGTCATGCATGGCTATGCATAAAACATCTGTGAGACACTGTTTCTCATAACGCTTAAAGAAGAAACACCCTAAAATACAGAGCAATGAAAGGTTACATCAGCTTGTCCTGCAATGCACAATACGCTGGGATGGAACAGTGAGGCAGAGCCGCACGTTCTGAAAACAAAGGACTCATAAGACTAGTCACAAGAGCAGGTCCAGTTTTTGTAATGGCCAGTAAGCCCTGGAGGGATACCATACTATTTTTTGAAACCAAGTGTTTAGTATTTTCATTAGATTGTATAAATACCATTTCAAGCAAATGCCAAATGGAAGCACAAGGAACACCAAGGCAGTCTCCTGCTCCAGCCACACTATCAGTGGCCATGACGATGCCAGGCAGCCAGTGTTATCTGGATTACTCTTTGCCACATCATCACTTTGTACAATGTTGCAGAGTTTCAGTAGCTAGAACCAGTGCACTGACTTAAACCAGCAATGGGTGGACAACAAGTTCTTCCAAAATTGGAAATACCACCCTTTTGGACATTAGTGCCTATAGTTTTTCTCCTTGGGCATGCTGTTTTTTCAGTTCTGGTACTGCCGAAATGGGATTCGGGCCAGCAGCTTCAGTTAGTGTAGATGGAATGACTTCCATTACATCTACATTAGAACACAGCATTCCATACCACTCAGTGTTCATGAATATTCAGTTAACCATAGTGCCAACTATGTTTCTGGAGCATCACCTCCCGTAAGAGCTCTTGCTTCACTAAACAGCAAATAACACATAGGGCATCATGAATAGAGCACTGGGCTTCTTCAATCACCATTTTGTTAGAACCCGCACAATGAGAACTTTTTTCCAGTGATGTTGAACAGTTTGACCCCTCAGCTAGCTCAGCCAAATCTAGCATGTTATCAGGGAATTGGTCAATATGGGCAACTGGCTTGGATCCAGTTGTCTAACAGATGAGGTCAGTGTCTTCTCTTCCAATATCCCCAGCAACCATATCTTCATCTGTTTAGGAAATATAAGGCAAGATCACTGAGAGCATCTCTTAAGAACAGACTTCTATAGGGGCGCCTGGGTGGCTTAGTTGGTTAAGCGTCCGACTTTCACTTAGGTCATGATCTCGCGGTTCGTGGGTTCGAGCCCTGCGTCGGGCTCTGTGCTGACTGCCAGCTCAGAGCCTGGAGCCTGTTTCTGTCTGTGACTCCCTCTCTCTCTGACCCTCCCCTGCTCACGCTGTCTCTCTCTCTCTCCTAGAAATAAATAAAACATTAAAAAAAATTAAAAAAAAAAAGAATAGACTTCTGTATGAGAACATTATAACCAGCTTTAAAATTTTGCTTCATGGAATTTAGAATACAGGCTCACTTCTTAGCACTGGGCCCATATGGGCATATTGGAAACTATTATATGATTATCCATATCCGTTTTTGAGAGCAGATAAGGAAAACTATATAAGCCCAATCTTAGCTTTTTCAACTCTGGTTAGGTCATCTTTTGGGTGAGAACCAGCCCTTCCACCAACCTGCAGTCATCATTTGTCCCACCCAGTTTCTTTATATATTTAAGCCATATATAGTTTATAAATAAACTATACATACCTCATGTATATGTAAACCATACACATATGCCCCTGGTAATTACCAACCTGGTATCCATGATGTTGTTTTTTTCAACTTTTTTTAATTACACCTAGAAGAGAGATCATCAGTATTTGTCTTTCTCCATCTGACTTATTTTACTTGGCACAATGCCCTCAAAGTTTCTTGACTACTTTGGTATCTTTAAGATCTACACCAACAGCAGTTGCGGAGTCCATCAGTTCCCTTGCTGCATTTCTACTTACTGGAGAAAGAAGACTTAAACACAGAAAACCTTGGAGATCAATGAAGTGGCTGCATTATTTAAGTTTCTCTGTCACACAGTTCCATGGGTCAAGACATGTTAAGATTTCAACACCCTCCTTTCCTGATTCCATCTGGAATGACTTGGAAATGATGGTTGGGTGAATCCCTTTCTGAAAAAGCTTGATACTGAAGTCTAAGAGAACCAGCAGTGATGACCACCCATGTGGTGTCACCTCGTGCTTCTTTATCTTGAGACTTAGCTCCCTCAGCATTCTGGCTGCTGGATGGAACACTTACATTTGTTTCAGAATGGTGGGGCCATTGATAGGAATGGTCATATCACCTTTCCCGTCCTCTATCATTTTATCCTTTTGGTCCCAGGCTTGTTCTGATAGCATCAGCAACAGCTTTCGTCATGGAGAGGTTGAAGTAGATTTGGATTAGCTTGTTGTGGTCCTCATTGGTGCTTTTCTTGAGGCTGCTGGCAGCTCTGGTGAGCACCTAGCCTGGGGTACCCCTGCTTGGATGTGGCAAGCTTAGCAGCTCTGGGTGGGCTCAGAAAGGACAGATGGATGTGGATTCCAGCTGGCTGCAGAATAATGGTGTGTGCTGTTAACCGCTGAAGTGGATTACAACAGGTCACTCCAAACTATGAAACTTTGGCATAGTATTTTGAAGTGAAGGCAACTGAGAAATGGCACATACAGGAAGGGTTCCCTGCCCTCCACTTTTCTGCCTAAAAGTATGGCATAAATTTTCTGTGAGAAACGTGACCTTTCTATAAAGATTTTTTGAAGTAATCTCTACCCCCAATATGGGACTCAAACTCACAATCCTGAGATCAAGAGTTGCATGTTCCACCAACTGAGCCAGCCAGGTGCCCTGAGAAAGGTGCCCTCTTATACCAAGAAGGGAAGAGGGCTCATCACTGGAGATAGGGATCCACACCAAGAGGAGTCTGAATGAACTTGACTAAAGTAATGCTTATCTTCTACTAGTTTTCCGCCAATCACTTTCCCCAGAACATACCACCTCTAGAAGTCCAACCCCTTTCCTTTGCCTACTTGCTTGACAATTTATCACTCTTTGTGCAAATGTTATGTAAGCCCTGAATCTACACAATTCTTTTAAGTTTTCACTTATTTTCTATTAAGTCTCCTATAAAAACATCAAATAAGATCCATATAGCTTTTACACGTTAATCGGTCTTTTGTCTGCTAAATTCACAGTCCTCAGCTACAGAACCTAAGAGGGTAAAGTTTTCCTCTTCATCACCTGGTTGACTGCAGAGTAGAAGGTGGAAGAAAAGGACTTTTTATGAGCTCCTGTATTGATTAAACATTTAAAATAAATAATTATATGTATATTTAGGGGCGCCTGGGTGGCTCAGTCAGTTAATCGTCTGACTTCGACTCAGGTCATTATCTCACGATTCGTGGGTTCGAGCCCCGCATTGGGCTCCATGGAGCCGGTTTCAGATTGTGTACCTCCCCCCCCGCCCCGCTCAGAAATAAATAAAACATTAAAAATTTTTTTAGAAATTATATGTGTATTTAAAGAGACAATAAAAATTTTCATCCATTTAAGTCACTCCTAAGAATAAAGGAATCCCAAGGAAAACATTTTAAAAAAGATATAGAAGTTTATTAAAAATCTGAAGATAGTTAACAATTTATTGAAGTCAGAAAGATAAGTATATAAAATCTAGAAAGGCAGAATTAGAAATTAGATTTCAAAGGATTTAGAAAGAATTCCTTATAAAAGTTTTTAACATTACATTCCTTGTCAAACTGGGACTTGGAGCGCTTTTGCTATTTGACCCCTGACCAGCAGGAGCACATCAAATTGTGGATAGACGGGAGATGCAGAGTCACTCTTATCCAAATGTAGCAAAAAGCACCATGTTTCCTACTAAATGGAATTTGTAGTTTCTTCTGCAATTTTAGAGCAACAAGCCCTGGGAATCCATTTCTCCCACTCAAAGAAGAGCCATTTGTACCTTTGTCCTAATACCTCTGATACCTGCCAGGAGTTAAAATGCTGGCTGAGTCATCACCACAGGACTCCTTAGATGAATGCAGGTGACAGTATCTCAGAGGGTGGTTTGCTCTGTTCTATTCTTTCACATCTCAAATTCAGTTGGCAGGTCACAGTTAGGCAGATAGAAATGGATTAAAAATTTTAGAACTCATGATAATCTTCTCAAGAAGTAGATTAAGATCATTACTGTAACGCATGACAGAAGAGCCTGGACCAGCAGTGTTTTCCAAGAAGATGGCAGCATGGGTGAGAAGAAGAGACAAAAGCCATCCTACAAGAGGGAGGGAGAAGGGGAATCAGATGGCTTCGTAATGCCCCAAATCTGAACTCAATAAAACACACTGGAGCTTCTGGATTCAATAGTAAGATTACTCCTAAATTTAAAAAGTAGAAAAAATAAATACTGACCAAGAGGCAACTTGTACTTAAGAACCTTTGAGTTAGGATTTGTAAGAAATAGTCCAACATAGGAGAAACCAGGAAATAGCAGACACTTAACTTTTTCACAGCAGGAATACTCCTCTTTTGACTTGGTTTTTTCAAAAGCTAAAAGGATACCAGTCTCTCTCCCCACCAAATAATCTGATTAAAAATGGGTGGCGGACCTGAATAGACATTTCTCCAAAGACTTGCAGATGACCAACAGACACATGAAAAGATGCTCAATGTCACTAATCATCAGGGAAATGCAAATCACAATCACAATGAGAGGTCACCTCACCCCAGTCAGAATGTCTAGTATCAAAAACACAAGCAATAACAAGAGTTGCTGAGAATGTGTAGAAAAGGGAACTGTTGGTGGGAAAGTAAATTGGTGCAGCTCTGTAGAAAACAGTGTAGCAGTTCCTCCAAAAATTCAAAATTGAAATGTCATATGACCCAGTGTAATTCCACTTCTGGGTATTTACCTGAAGAAAACAAAAACATTAATTTAAAAAGATGTATGCACTCCTACGTTCATTATAGCAATCTTTACAATAGCCAAACTATGAAACAACTCAAGTGTTCATTGACTGATGAATGGATAAAGGCAATGTGGTATATACACAATGGAGTATTACTTAGCCATAAGAAAAAAATGAGACCTTGCCATTGGCAACAACATAGACATAGAAAGCATTATGTTAAGTGAAAGAAGTCAGAGAAAGACAAAAAACAGGAGTTCATTTACATGTGAAATCTAAAAAACAAAAGAACAAAAAAATAGAAACAGATTTATAAATGCAGAAAACAAAGTGGTGGTTGTCAGAGAGGAGCAGGGTGGGGAGATAGGCAAAATAGGTCAAGGGGATTAAGAAGTACAAGCTAATCGTTATAAAATAAAACAAGAATGAAAGGTAGAGCACAGAGAATACGGTCAATATTTAATAACTTTGTATGGTGACAGACAAGTCAAGAATTCCATAATGTATGTAATTGCTGAATCAAAATGTCATATACCTTTAAAGTATATAGTATTGTATGTCAACTATACTTCAATTTTAAAAAAGTGCTTGCTTTGGCAACACTTATATTAAAGTTGGAAGATTAGCATGGCCTCTGGGCAAGGATGACATGCAAATTCATGAAGCATTCCACATTTTAATCACTATAGTGTACATCTGAGTTAATGTGTATCTAAATTAATAACAATGTATGTTAATTATACTGGAATTTTAAATTAAAAAGATAATTTTTAAAAAAAAATTCAAAGAACAAAAACCTAAGAAAAAGGTAGACTATCATGTTCTATCCTGAGCAAGGGGCAGATGCCACTCAGGAAACTGGCAAATCACTAATTTGAAAACTATCACCTGAGACAATAAAGCAAGCAGCCCCATTCAGAAAAAGAGAGGAAAGGAATCAAAGTCCAGAGAGTGGCATTTTAACTGTAGTGGGAGACGTGTGGGCATGTCCCCTTTACTCATTTGGGGGAATATGGGCTTCTTGACGTTAAAGGATTATTCCTTAGTCAATGTTAATTAGCCAATGAAAACAATGACCACCTCCCAGTTTCCTCTTTAGGTGCGGAAGGCCCTCAGGGGTCAAATGACGTCTTAAGACAAATGGCTCTGGTGGAGTTCTTAGGGTTCACAGGCCTGGATGGTTGAAGACCAGCACACACACCAGGAAGAAAGCAGGAGCTAATGCTAACACCTCAGACTGTTCATAGAAGATCAAGGTTCTGATTCAGATACTACCCCTCCTCCACAAGTGGAATCCAATTCGTCACCATAGGTGATGGCAACTGCCAACAGGAGGCTGTTTCCTGCAGTTCTTAAGTCCTTGGATTTTTTAAAATGTTTATTTGTGGGCGTGTGAGAGCACAGGGTAGGGGCAGAGAGAGAGGGAAACAGATGATCTGAAGGGATTCTGCCCAGACAGAAGAAAGCCTGATACCCGGGCTCGAACTCACTAGCCATGAGGTCATTACCTTAGTGGAAGTCAGCCTCTTTTTTTTTTAAAATTTTTTTAAAATATTTTTATTTATTTCTAGGAGAGAGAGAGACAGCGTGAGCAGGGGAGGGTCAGAGAGAGAGGGAGTCACAGACTGAAACAGGCTCCAGGCTCTGAGCTGGCAGTCAGCACAGAGCCCGACGCGGGGCTCGAACCCACGAACCGTTGAGATCATGACCTGAGCCAAAGTCGTACGCTTAACCGACTAAGCCACCGGGGCGCCCCAGTGGAAGTCAGCCTCTTAAAGTGACTGAGCCATTAGGCTCCCCCCTTTGATTTTCTGTTTTAATCGTCGGTTTTAATAGTTTGGCTATATTTATTCTATAGCCTGGGTCACTGCAGTCTTTGATTCAACTCCAGTAAGGAAGAGAGGAAAGGAACAGGAATCTAGCTCAGAAACCGAGAGGCATGCTACCCTCTTCCTGAAGGGTGGTGGGCTTTCCTTGATCATTAAATCCATTTGGGAGCTGCAGGCAATGGCCTGCCCCTCTAGTTTACACCACAGAGATCAGTGACCTCCAGCTGAAAGCTAGGGCACCTGGTTATCACCCAATAAGGGCTAGGTGCAATGGATGAGAGTTAACGACCCCGGGGTCAGTACCACACTGGGTGCCTTCGCCCGATCTTAACACCCCTGGGCTCAGATCTCCCAGAGCGGTGTTGCGGCCTAGGCAAGGGGATGCCTTTTCACTCTTAATGTTTTAGGCCTGGTGGTCTCCAACCTGTATCTCTGTGGGGCCTGTCTCTCCCAAGGTTTAATAGGCAGTGGAGAAAGAATCCATCTGGCCCAGAATCACTCAGCTGCTGACTCTACCAGTTTGGGAATCTCTATATGAGCAAAGTATTCAGACCCAACTTGGGCGCATCCTTAAACCCCTATGACCCGGCAAGGGTAAGGCCAAAGTGTGCAAATGAGGTTGTGTGCCGCTGCTTCATAATAAGCTAATATGACAACCGTCTAGCATGGACGGTTTCTGCCAGTCGGACATCACCAAGAGAGGAGAAAGACGGAATGTCCTAATCTTGCCGAAAGGAACGCCCCACAGGGGGCTGAGGCCGCGAGATCCCTTCAGGGGCTGGCCACGTGGGCGCGTCCTCTGCTGCCCGCCCGGTCCCCGAACCCCGAGTCCGCCCTGCGCTCACCCAGCCGTCGTGTGCCTCCAGCCAGGCGCGATGTCGTCCTGTGAGCCGACTGCAGAGCAAAGCCACCAGGTGCTGGCAGTCCTCATCAACGTTGGTCTTCCACTCCAGGTCCTGTTCCTGGCCCGGCGTCAGGGTCAAGTAGGTCCCCGGTGGCGGTCTCTCCAGCAGCGTCCCCGCGAAGATCAAGAGCGCTGCTATATGGCCCCAGCTGACGTTTTGGGGGTTGGCGAATAAATCCCGCTCCAACTGCTCCACCAGCGCCACGCGGTTCCCGCGGTAGCCGCGGTAATCCGACAAGAAGCCCTGGTGGCTCTGTTGTACTTGGGTGGCCAAATAGCGCAGCACCTTGGCCTCCAGAGTGGACGGCGCCCGGGCGGGGCTGCCCGGAGCCCTGGCGCAGAACTCCAGGTAGTCCGTGAGTAGGCGCGCCGTGCGCTCCCTCAGCGCGTCAGCCATGGCCGAACCTGGGTGGGAGGGCCCACCCGACGCTGTTTTCTAGGCCGGGCTGCGCCTCCACCCAGGGAGGGGCCGCCACGCCCCTCCCCGGTTCCGCCCGGAAGTTGTTTCTCTAGGTCCGGAGAGGAGCCTTTAATGGGAATCCCATGTGCATTTGTTCTGGTCCCAAAGGCCAGGCCCAGTGGTGTGCATGCGTTCGCAGAGCGATCAAAGACAGAGTGAGACTTCTCTGGGGTTACTGTTTAGCTCTGGCCTGGGCACTAAGAACCCGGAGGAGACAGTCTGGGAAGTTGGGCTAGATTTTTGCCTCCTTTTAAGGAGAACTTGACAAAGGGTACCCATAGCCTTCCACTGATGACTCCCTTTCAAGGATTATCAGCATCTCCCAATTGGACAGAAGCACTCGGTGTGTGTTGGAGATACCTTTCTTTGGATCTGGCATCCGGCAGGAAATAAATAGGTTAAGTCTCCTGCAGGCTGCTGGAGTGCCAATACTGGCTGTATTTGTTCATTCAGAGCCTGTTAGCACTGGAGATGGAATGGAGAGCAAGGCCTGCGGTTCCTGCTCTCGAGAACCATGTAGACTACTGATGAAGTAAAGAAAGAGGCCACCACTATAGCAGGAGTGGTTCAATACTCAGCTCCAGGATACTGGCTGCTTCTGGTAGCCACCGCTTCTGTACTGCATAGAATTCTCTTTACTTTTTATTGGACTATTCCTCATTATTCCAATCCTCTATTTTAGTTAATACTTCTTATATTAATCTTTCTTTGTTCGTGATACTGTATGGCTTCTTTCTCATGATTGGACCTAGACTGATCCAGAATTGATAACAGCAGTGAAAATTCTGGGGGTTTAGTGGTTTGGAGTATGTTGAAAAAACCCATCCAGGGCCACCTGGGTGGCTCAGTCGGTTAAGTGTCTGACTTCAGCTCAGGTCATGATCTCATGGTTGGTGGGTTTGGGCCCCACGTCAGGCTCTGTGCTGGCACCTGGCTCAGAGCCTGGAGCCTGCTTCGGATTCTGTGTCTCCCTCTCTCTCTGACCCTCCCCTGCTCATTCTGTCTCTCTCTCTCAGAAATAAATAAAAGCATAAAAAAAAAAACAAAAACCCATCCAGGGTGAAAGATGAGTTCCTGCATCTTGTATCACTTACAAGAAAAAAGAGGTATGGCACTTGGTAGGCCCTTTTGGAATTTGGAGAAACATACACCACATATGAGTGTGAATTCAACCCATCCCCAGGCTGGTGGATCAGGGAAAACAAGAGAAGGTTCTTCAGTATGTGCAGGCTACAGTACAAGCTGCTTTACCACATGAGTCTTATGATCCAATAGATCCCATGATACTTGATGTGTCAGACAGGGATATGTATGTAGCCTCCAGCAGGAGAATTACAGCACAGACCTCTAGGTTTTCAAAGCAAATCTATGTTCTCTTCTGCAAATGGCTATCCTCCTTTGAAGAAGCAGTTTCTGGCTTGCTACTGGACCTCAGCAGAGGCTGAATGGCTAACCATGGGACTGACCATGTAGCTTGAGCTCTCATTCTGTGGATGTTGTCTGACCTACCTAGATATACATTGGGCATACACAGCAGCATCAAGTGGAAATATATGACTGAACTCAGGGAATCCATAAAGTAAGTTGTGTAAGCAGGTGGCACAGGCTCCTGCAGCACCAACTCATTTCTTTGCTGCCTCCCTCATTCCATATCTATGGCCTCCAACGGATTGCTTAGGATCAGTTGACTGAGGGACCCATTACAGATGGGTCTGTATGATGTGCTGGTACCACATGAGAGGAGACAGCTGTAGTATTACAACCCCACTCAGGGTTGACTGTGCAGACAGTGGTAAAGGAAAATCCTCCCACTGGGCAGGGATTCAAGCCAAATCTTTGACTGTCCACTATGTCTGGAGTGAGAGATGGCCAGAGTACAGATCTATATTGATCCTTGAGCAGTTGCTGATGATTTGGCTGGATGGTCAGGGCCCTGAAAAGAATAGGATTGGGAGATTGGTGACAAGGAAATCTTAGAAAGAGGTATGTGGCCAGATCCCTCTGGAGGGGTACAGACTGAAGATATTCATGTCTCATATGAATGCCACCAAAGGGCAGTGGGGCAGCCACTGCAGAGCAGACCCTTAATAATCAGGTAGACAAAATTCTGTGGTCTGTGGATGTCAGAGAGCTTCTTTACCTAGCCATGACAGTGCTTGTTTTAGGGCCTGTGAACAAAGATGCTATGGCAGCAGGGAGACAGTATGGCAACAATAGAATTCTCCCTAGGAAGGTTGAGTTGGCGAGCAGTATTGCTATGTGCCTGGTCTACCAACATCAGTGATTTATTTATAGTGAACCAAGCGAATTTTGTCAAAAGGAAGTATAAATCTCTGTACATGAAGCTCTGATCCGAACCGTTTTTGACATCTATGGGGTTCCCTCATTGAGTTGAATAAATGTTTTGATATGTGATCATATTTTATTTGCCAGAGATCCATGATGTTACCTTTTTGAACATTATATTTTAGCAGCAAGCAGTTTTTCCCTTAGATTCGGAGTAGCTTGGAGGTGAATGGTAAATTGTCTGGCCCTGTCATTGGTTGACTCCTAATAATTATCAGTTGAACCAAAGAGCAAATGAATGAATTAACCTCCACACAGAATTTCTGATCCACAGGATTCAAGGAGGCAGTTTGCAGTCATATTTGGTTAAAATTCCTGGCTCTGACACTTAGAAGCTATGAAACCATGAGCAAGTTATTCACCTCTCCTAGCCACAATATCCCCACCTTAAAAAATGGAATAACCTACTTGCACCATATGGCTATTACAAGGATTATATGAGTTGGTGTGTGCAATGAGTTTAGCACAGTGCCTGGCACAAAGGAAAAGTTCTTTACAGAGAATTTTTTTAATAATATAGTTTATTGTCAAGTTGGTTTCCATATAACACCCACTGCTCATCCCAAGTGCCCCGCTCCGTGCCCTTCACCCATTTTCCCCTCTCCTCCACCCCTCATCAACCCTGAGTTTGTTCTCAGCATTTAAGAGTCTCTTGTGGTTTGTCTCCTTCCCTCTTCTTAACTACTTTTTCCCCTTCCCTCCCCTACAGTCCTCTGTTAAGTTTCTCCTGTTCAACATATGAATAAAAACATGTGGTATCAGTCTTTCTACAGAGAAATTTTTATTGTTAATATGAACTAACCAGGGTTTACCATGCTCATTTGTCCAGCCACTTTTAACGGAAAGTCAAAATGTGACATGTTGGTGAGCCTTACCTATCTGGTTGCTTTGTTTTGTTTTGTTGTTTTTTAAATAGTGAAAATAGTTACAGACTACCTACTGTTTTTTCCACATATATTTTTAACAGCTTAATTGTGATATAATTCACATACCATAAAATCCACCCTTTCAAAGTATATGTCAGTGGTTTTTAGTACATTCCCAGAGTTGTGCAATCATCACCACTATCTAATCCCATTACCTCAAAGGAAATCCTATACCCCTTGGCAGTCCCTACCTGTTCATCCCAACCTGAGCCATAAGTGACCACCAATCTACTTTCTGTCTCTGTGCATTTACCTATTCTGAATATTTCATATAAATGGACTCCTATACGGCATAATCCTTTAAGTCTGGCTTCTTTTGCTTAGCATAATGTTTTCAAGGTTTATCCATGTTGTGGCACGAATTAGCACTCCATTCCTTTTTATTGCCATGCAATATCCCATCGTATGGATATGCCACAGTTTGTTCTTCCATACCTCAGCTGTTGAACATTTGAGATGTTCCACTTTGGGCTACATTTGTGTTCAAGTTTCTGTGTGGGCATGGGTACAGATGTAGGGGTGTGAAGACACCTATTATTGGGGAGCACAGATAGGGTGACCTCTGCTTCAAGGTTAAGTGTTCACCAGTGGTGTATTCGGTTCAAAGATAGGCATTTTTGGTTATCGCAATCTTTGCATAAATGTTCGTATCATACTTAGGTTTAGTTGTCTTTATTTACGTGGTTAAATGAACTAGAGCATCATTCCTGATCCCGTCTCCTCACTAGAGGGTCTGTATCCTTTATACAATGAAACAAACATACTAACTTCATTTTTTTCACTAGAAATGGCCATGAGTCAGCCTGCTGTGGAGACTGATCAGTCCTGAAGGCCAGCCTGGCTCCAGCCACATCCCTTCTAGAGAATGAAGGTTCTGTGTTATGCTTTAAAGACTGATTTCTCTCCTATCACGGGTGAGAGGGTGAGTGGTTTAGCCTTATGTTCTGGCAAAGGATCCACAGAGACAAAAAGATTCACTTAGAGCTTTCCCCCAACTTGTCCCCTCATCAGAATTCCTGGCCCACTGCAGTCCTGCCCAGTCCAGATCTCCAGGAACTGTATCTATAGTTTTAGGACCTGTATTTTTTAAAAAAAATTTTTGTAGTTTATTTATTATTGAGACAGAGAGAGACAGAGCATGAGCAAGGGAGGGGCAGAGAGAGAGGGAGACATGGAATCTGAAACAGGCTCCAGGCTCTGAGCTGCCAGCATAGAACCTGACATGGGGATCGAACGCATGAACGTGAGATCATGACCTAAGCTGAAGTGGAACAACTGACTGAGCCACCCAGGCGCCCCAGGACCCGTATTTTTAACCTGCTGTTGACCTGCATGGTTTTTCTCAGCAGGCAATTTGGGAAATGCAGATCCCTGCTCAGCCAGATCTCTAGGGCTTGGGAGGAAGCCAGCTGGCAGCAATATGGCCCCAACTCCAACCCCAGTTAATCTAACCTGTCTATGGTGTTACCCCAGGATCCTAAGTGCCCTCCTCTAAAAAGATTTTCAGCAGTCCACAGGCCGGGTTGGCCTCTAGCCCTTCCCAACTGCCTCTCTGTGCCCCTTTGGCACCTCCTCTGAGGGCCTCTCCTCCGGCCCCTCTCAATGACCCTCAACCCCACCCCTCCTTTTTTTCCAAGCTCCTGTTGGGGCCTTACTGCCCTCAGGGGGCTCTCACACAGTGGTGCTTAAGAAGGGGTCATTAGCCTCATCACCTGTTTTCAAAGTATTGTCTCAATCCTGAGACCCTTTCAGGAGGTCCTCCAAGGTCAAAACTATTTTCATAATAATACTCTTTTTGTATCTGTGTCTTTTAAGACTCTCATTCTCTGGGGAGTGATCCAGAGGCTACTATTATCTGGTAAAAGCATCACCAATAGAACACGTGCTTTTGTATTCTTGTGTTTTAAAATTTTCTCAGTTTTAATTTCTAATGTGATAAATATTGATAGGTATAATCCACATAACCAAAAAGCTCAATAATTTTTTTTTTAAATATTTTTATTTATTTCTAGGAGAGAGAGAGAGAGAGACAGCGTGAGCAGGGGAGAGTCAGAGAGAGAGGGAGTCACAGACTGAAACAGGCTCCAGGCTCTGAGCTAGCAGTCAGCACAGAGCCCGACGCGGGGCTCGAACCCACGAACCGCGAGATCATGACCTAAGCGAAAGTCGGACGCTCAACCGACTAAGCCACCCAGGCACCCCAAAAGCTCAATAATTTTTAAGATGTACAGGGATCATTAAGACCAAACTCCTCGAGGACTGATGGATGTGGGGGGGAGGGAGGATGGGCATGGAGGAGGGCACTCATGGGGATGAGCACTGGGTGTTATGTGGAAACTAATTTGACAATAAACTATTTGTAAAAAAAAAAAAAAAAAGAAAGAAAAAAAAAAGACCAAACTCCTCGAGAACCACTGGCCCAGATGAGTCTCTACTGGATAATTACTAATTTGATACATGAGTGGGGGCTGCTTAAGGAGGGGAGAAAATGGGGGGGAGGGGAAGAAAGAGCAAGGGAAGGGAGATAGGGAGGACTGGACGAGACGGGGGAGGTAGGTATGGGAAAAAGAGAAAAGAGAGAGGGAATAGGAAGGGGCGGTGGGGCAGGAAGGACGGTGGATGGATGGAGGAAACAGGGAACTAACCGTTGTTGAAGACGTGCCAAAGGCTGAGGTAGGTGCTTTACATGTTTTAGGGTTCTCCCATTCTACACATGAGGAAACTGAGGCTGAAAGAGATTCAGGTATTATGTATCCCGTAATAGTGGTACAGCTGGGCCTGAACCTAGGCGCACACTTTTGTCACCATGCTGTCCCTGTCTAACTTACAGATGGGTCCTGGTGCCCACTGTGCCACCTTCCAGCAAGCTGGCCAAGTAACCGTGAGAGTCTGGGACCCAAACACCTTTATGACCTTTTGCTGTCTTTAAGTCACTTGTAATCTAGGGAAGGTGTGGAGGAGCTCAAGGGAAAGTAGATAAGGAGTACCTGCCTCTGGTCTCTGGCTCATTCCAGAACAGGGCTGGCAGCTGGGCCCCACGTCTGCGAGGCCAACCGCCCACTCCGAAGCAGCTGCCTTGATTTTGGTTCACAGGTATTTCCCATAAAAGCCCATCACCGCACCCCTTCTTACCTGACCCCACTTCCTGCCTAACCCTTCTCTAGCTGTGCACGCCGGAGGGCACATCCATACGGACCCTTCACCATAATTAGTTTGGTAGGTTTGCCCCCAAGTCCTTAAAAAAACAACAACAACAAACTGATTAAAAAACTCCACTCAGCCTTATTTTCAATATGCAAAATACAATTTATTACCTGGAGTTACCCTGGAGTCCCTGCATGGTGTGGTATATTCCAAACCAAGTATTTCATCAGTAAATACTCAACAACACCCACTGTGAAAGCAAATACTTACGGTGGGGGTTGGCTTACTGCCAATGGGGGTTAAGGGAGTGTTCCAGGGAATATGTTCATCTTTTTCCCCCCATAGCTTTTTTGATTGGAAAGTTATGGGCCATTTTTGCACATATACTGAAGATGCTCTCTGCCTCTCCCAACATAAACTTGAATTTGCTTCCCCCTAGTCTAGGTTACTTTTCCTCTGTCCTGGCTTCCTTCACTTCTAGGTGGTCAGCGTCAGACTGCAGAGGTCTGTAGGAGAGAAGGAAGGGGATACCATAACTAGGAGACCAGGAGCAAACTCTGGGATGTTCTGGGAGTGCAGCCTGGGAATCTGGTGAGACACACTCAGGGGCCTGACCCTCCAGCAGCCGGCAGGAGCTGGCTAGGTGCACTTCCCTGAGCCCTTGCCTAGACTGGATTCCACTGGGCAAAGGGAGAGGTGGCGGCTCATTCTGGGCTCTTTGGAGTCAGGTAGGGGCCTTTTACATTTCTCTCTCTACCCCAAGGCCTGCTGTGGAGTAAAACCCTCAGTAAAATGTTTGCTTGGCAAATGACTGAACCTCACCATTATATTTACTTTAAAATAATTAATGCAAAAGCTAGCCTGGCTGATATTTGACTGACTGGCCCATTATGATACCTGAACAAGTAGTTTTGAGGGTGGGCCTGGCACATGCCCTGATGTTTGCAGAAGCACCAGGTCCAGACCTGTCTGATGGCCATGCCCTGCTCCAGGTCTGCAAGGACCTCTCTGAGCAGCAGGGCAAGAACTACTACTAGGAGGAGGGCTAGGCTGGAACAGGGCCACGAGAAGAGACTGGACAGCCCAGGGTACTCCGCACTCACAGCCCACGGGCACCACAGCAGCCCAGACCTCCAGGAATGATTTTTGGTGTTTGAGGTGACCTTCTATTTCTCTAAGTAATGCATGCCATCTTTATGAATGAATGAATAAGCCTAAACACCTTAAAAACAAAAAAGGACAAGTGATCACATAACAAAAATCCCTGGTATCTTCTGGAGGGAAATGCTGAATTCAAATAAAGACAAGGTATTTTTTTATGTTATTTTTTCTCAATATAAGAGCAGCAAGGACATTATCACTTGAGACCTATCAATTAATTTGCATATGTAATTACCTTTTTAATCCAATAAATATGAATATACTTTATATGGATATAATCTACTTTAGCCTGAGTGGATGCTATTAATTCTAAAACATCTATTACTAACAGGTTTTTAACGAAGTTTGCGGTTTAGTGTTCCTGCACAGAAAGGTTTTGGTTGCTCTGAGATGTATTTGTGTCACAAACAGCATTCAGCTTTACCTTCAAATGACAGGAAATATCCTGTCCAAGTGATCACATCGTCACAAAATTAATAAATCAAACACCTGTCCACTCTATACCTATCTTTCCTTCATTTAGAACTGTTCATAGAGATGGAAATGTTTGATCTGAAAATGGCACTACCAGACTAAAAAATAAACTTTTACAATAAAAACTTTTTTTAAAAAGTGACTGTCCAGGGGCACCTGGGTGGCTCACTCGGTTAAGCATCCAACTCTTGATTTCAGCTCAGGTCATGATCTCACGAGTTCGTGGGATCGAGCCCTGCATTGGGGTCTGTGGTGACATCACAGAGTCTGCTTGGGATTCTCTCTCTCCCCCTCTTCTCTGCCCCTCCCCCACTCATGCACACACACACACACACACACACACACACACACACTCTCTCTCTCTCTCTCTCTCTCTTTCCCAAAATAAATAAACTTAAAAAAAGCGATTTTGTCCAATTACATTTGGAATTGGAATCTTCTAGCACAGACCAACTGACACAGTCTGCCTCAGGTAGTGCATTAAGATCAGCACTTCTAGAGGAAGGTTCCAAAAGACAGTGCACACTGAGAAGAATCAGATTTTAAAGTGCTCTGAAAACAAATTTGATTCAAGGAAATACTACAGGATGTGTTAAATGTTGAATCCTGTTGGTAATAGAATGAGTTGAGATTATATAATTAGAATAACCTTAAAAATGGATAAATTTTAAAAAGTGTTCAAAATGCAAAACACTATTTGAAGGTGTCCTATAGCTGGAGGCTCACACCGGTATCTTTCAGGGGTGGTAGTGTTAATAGTAATATTGGGGACGCTGAGTACTTCAGCCATGGAGTCGCTCCTTTAAGCTAAGTTGCAATAGCCCTCAGATCCTCTAGAAGAAAGATCTATTTACATATGACGATTTCATTCTCCTCTCAGGTGTGCATTGTGAAGAGACGATTAAGCCCAGACCTGCAAAGACAGGAACACAAACAGATAATTTGTAGTCCCTTAGTAGTTAATGACTTGCAAAACTGGAGTTTAAAGAGAAAATCAAGGTTACACACACACACCCCCCACATCCGAAATAAAGCACTCACATGTCTTGGATGGATTACACCTTACTCATAGAAACTCGGAGGTACTTCTTTCCACCTGACTCTTCCCCCAGCGCCACTTAATCATCTGAAGGGCCTCTGTGCCTTCTTACTAGGGACTCATAACTCTTAGGCGAAGTACCAAAACCATCTGTACCCACACAGCTCACTAAGTACATTAACATGACTACTAATTTAGGAAACACTTGCCCAGGAAGATGAAGCCACAGAAAACTTTGTTGTTTTAGGAACTGCACGAAAATCTTTTAATCTATTTATCCTAAGAGTAGACGACTCAACTACTCTCTTTAGAAAAGACTTCTCAGGCCAACACGGAGCATCACAAATGATGGATTACTTTTCAAGACTGTCTTCAAAATCCTCTTCCTCCCCTAACACTGTGTCTATCAGTCTTAAAATTATTATGCCACACATTTGTCCAATCCTAATTAAATCCCTCCACCTGCCCTTAAACCAGAGCCCCCCCCTCCATAAACATCTGCCTTTGTTCTCCCCTTCTGAGATGCCACTAAGATGGTCACGTTTGTGCTTTGCCTCCTAAATTTAGCTCTGCTTTATGAACAGACCATCTTGGAGGGATTTCTGGGGAGCCAACATCCAACAAAGTCACAGAGCTCTTTGAGAATCTGATGAAAACCATGAGGACACTTTTACCAGAAAAATGGACACACGTGAAATGTGACATGTAATTTCCAGAGCTTCATGGCTCCCCTAAAGCCCCACTGTGGGTCTCACAGGGCTGTGTCACCACGGGATAAGAACCCTGAACTACTGGGAGGCGCTCTGTGTGGTTTGCCAAAGGCTAGAATCAAAAGATCCTACTTTTAGGATCAAAGGGAATCTTTTGGATCACTTCAATTATTACCTCAATTACATGCTGATACACAGTTGTTTAATCTATGGTCAAACACTTGCACTAATGGGGAACTCACTTCTCCAGGCAACTCATCCCTTCCGTGGCCAAAGAGCTGAGATTAGAGCTCTTTCTGGCTGACACAGCCCATCCTAGCTTACCCTGAGCCTCTGTTTTAAGAGGCCAATCACTTCTCCTCTCACACACAGAGTAAAATAGAAGAGCTGCTCTCTTACTCTTAGGGTATGATCCCATGATCCTGAGCAGAAAGCAGTCCCGTCGGGGGAAACTCGTAGGGTGCTGACGCGGTTTTCATGTCCAAACAGGATGGAGACTCGGGACCCCTTAAGAACATCCCAGACATTGATGGTATAATCGTTGTATCCAGCAAACAGCAGGCGCCCTCAAAGTAGAATGATATGATGGTTATTGACCCAGTTCCTCCCTCTTTTTTATGACTTTCATTGACTCACTCATGCAGTCCCTTGCCCGTTCATTCATTCGTTCATTCAATCAACAGTGATTTAATGCCCACTATGTGCCAGGCACTGTGCTTTGCCCTGGAGATTCAGAGGAGAGAAGTTGCTGCCCTATGTGGATGGTGGTGGTGTTGGGCAGGCAGGCAGGCCCCTAAACTGACACATGGTAGCGCTATGTGATAAGGGCTGTAATGGAAGTGCTTAGCTGTGTGTGAAGTGCTGTGTGACCATGGAGGAAGGGCAATCAAGGAGGGCACTGCAAAGGAAGTGACATGAGCTGGCTCATGGGGGTGAGTAGGAGTTCACCAGGCAGAGAAGGAAGGCAAAATGTGCTGTAGGCAGCACAGCAGCACACATGCATAAAAGCACAGATAAAAGCAGAACGGGGGCTGTGTCTGGGGAAGCTGAATGGTCCTATCAGTGCTGCTCTAACTTTCACTAGCAGCCTCCCCTGCAGGGAGGGCAGAGGTGCCATGAGCTTCAAGGCATTGAGAAAAGGGGCTCCTGCAGCACCTCCCCCCCCACCTTGGAAAAGTCTCTTTTCAGGTATGAAGGGGAGAATGGAAGGCCAAGGGGGAAATGCCTAATTAAAGACACTGCAGATATGAAGTTTCATACGGCATTACCTTGAAGAACAGCATTAGGTGGGCACAACCTTCATTTCCCCTAAAATGAGTGGGGTAGGGGAGGCCCCTTCAGGTAGGGTGAAGTGGGTTGGGGGGTCAGGGAGGAAAACTGGTGCAGACGTAGGCTGCATAACACACTGGCTCACAAGAAGTTCAGCTAAAAGCTGGATCTGGAACTGGGTTTCATTTAGGTCCTGTCTTAGAGTCCCGGGAAAGTTCTGAAATAAAATCTTACCACTGAGGGAGAAGTCCACACTGGATGCTCCAAATATGATACTCTCTTTGGAATAGATGGCGACCTCCCTGTCTGCCCGGAGGTCATAGAGGCGACACTGGGGTGACAAGACAAAAAAAGGACTTATTTCTGGCTCTGGGTTGGTGAAGAGATGACCACAGGCCTATATTCAGTGGTGTGTGTAGTTTGAGGGATAAGGGAAATACCTCCAGTTTTCTTCCCTAGTATTTTCTCCCTTAATCCTGATTCCTATTAATTGGCATGGATCAGTGGAGATTCAAAGAAACAGCAAATACAGAAGATTTTTAGGGTATAAAACCAAAAATGAAACCCCTCTTTTTTTCTGATAAAGGATACATATTCATTGTAGAAAATTCAGAAAAACCCAGAAATGCCTAAAGAAGGAAATAAAAATCACCCCAAATCCTAGAAGTATTTACTAACATCTAGGCTATTTCCTTCAGTCTTATTTCCATTTTATGTGTGTGTGTTTAAATGGAGTGGATATTTCATTATTACTGCTATTAACATTAGGTTATAAGTTTTTTTTCTCATTTCATTAATCTTCAAAAACACAGGACTAACATGGTTGTTGAATATTCCTCATGTGGATATATCAGAATATGTTTAGCCATACCTTTTGATTGTATCTAATTTTCCTCTTTTATTAATAAAATACTGATGACATTCTTTTTTTTTTAAAGTTTATTTTTGACAGAGAGAAGGAGAGAGAGTACACAAGCAGGGGAGAGGCAGAGAGAATCCCAAGCAGGCTGTGTGCTATTAGCAAGGAGCCTTATGTGGGGTTCAAGCTCACAAACTGTGAGATCATGACCTGAGTAAAATTAAGAGTTGGATGCTTAACCAATTGAGCCACCCAGGTGCCTGTTGATGACCATTCTTCTGTAAAAATCTTTATACACATCTCTGATGTTTTCCTTAGAATAGTTAAGGAATAGAGTCCTTAGAATAAAACTGTTTCCAAGAAATAGTATGACCAGGGACGCCTGAGTGGCTCAGTTGGTTGAGTGTCCGACTTTGGCTCAGGTCACAATCTCACGGTTTGTGGGTTCGAGCCCCGCATTGGGCTCTGTGCTGACAGCCAGCTCAGAGTCTGGAGCCTGTTTCGGATTCTGTGTCTCCCTTTCTCTCTGATCCTCCCCTGCTCATGCTGTCTCTCTCTCTCAGAAATAAATAAAACATTAAAAGAAATTTAATAAAAAATAAAAACTTAATTAAAAAAAAAAAAGAAATAGTATGACCAGATCAAAGGGCAGGGATGTTACAAAAGCTCTTGATTTGTATGGCAAAATTGTTCTCCGGAAGGGTGGTACCAATGCTCCTAACTCCAGGCTCCTTTACCACATCACCTCCATGAGGCAGCATTTCACTGCTAATCCAAATGAGCACTGATGACTTAAACTTGCGTGTACTGGGTTACAGATGGTCTGAAAATGTATTCAGGTGCTTGCCATGTGGGATTTACCGCTTTGTAAACAGTATGCATTGTATCCTCTTTTTTAAATTTTTTTTTCAAAATTTTTTCAATTTTTTTATTTTTTTTAATATATTTTTAAATTTATTTCTAGGAGAGAGAGAGAGAGACAGCGTGAGCAGGGGAGGGTCAGAGAGAGGGAGACACAGACTCTGAAACAGGCTCCAGGCTCTGAGCTGGCAGTCAGCACAGAGCCCGACGCGGGGCTCGAACCCACGAACTGCGAGATCATGACCTAAGCGAAAGTCGGACGCTTAACCGACTAAGCCACCCAGGCGCCCCGAAATCCTCTTTTTTTAAATTAGGGTTATTATCTCACTGATTATGCAACCCCATTTATATCTAAATGATATCAATTTTGTCTGTCATATAGGTGTCAGATGTATGCCCTTATAATTTGTTATACATTTTTTTGGCATACAGAAGTTTAAAATTTTTATTATTATTACAACATTCAATCTACTCCTTTGTAATTTCTTTCATAGGAGCAAGTTCAGATGAAACCCACTATTTAATAAGATATTAAATATGGACACCCAAGGCAACATTTTTCTCTAGAAAACTAGCTCAACATAACTTGCAATTAGTATCAAAAGCCTTAAAGGTAGGTCTATTTTTGATTTAGCAAGTTCATGTCGTGGAATTAATTCTAAATAAATAATAAGTACCAAAAATATTTACTTATAGCAGTATTTTTTTAACAGAAAAAAAACCCTGAAAGACCTAAATGTCCAAAAATTGACTAGTTAATGTCCATAACATGGAATACTATTCAACCACTAAGAAAATAAAATGTAGAAAAGTTGATTATTGGCATGGGAAACTGTTCACAGTCTATTGCTAAGTGAAAAAAACAAATTATAAAGCACTTTGCTAAAAAAAAAAAAAAAACAGGGCGCCTGCGTGGCTCAGTTGGTTAAGCATCCAACTTCGGCTCAGCTCATGATCTCAAGGTTCGTGGGTTCGCACATCGTGTCGGGCTCTGTGCTGACAGCTCAGAGCCTGGAGCTTGTTTCAGATTCTGTGTCTCCCTCTCTCTCTGACCCTCTCCTGCTCACATTGTCTCTCTCTCAGAAATAAATAAAACAAAGATTAAAAAACAGGGGCGCCTGGGTGGCTTAGTCGGTTAGGCGTCCGACTTTCGCTTAGGTCATGATCTCACTGTTCGTGGGTTCGAGCCCCGCGTAGGGCTCTGTGCTGACTGCCAGCTCAGAGCCTGGAGCCTGTTTCAGTCTGTGACTCCCTGTCTCTCTGACCCTCCCCTGCTCACACTGTCTCTCTTTCTCTCCTAGAAATAAATAAAAATATTAAAAAAAATAAAAAGATTAAAAAAAATAAAAATAAAAAAGACAAAATGGAATTCACCCAACTGTGATTTTTCTTTGGTTAAGAGACTAAGATATTTTCATCCCCTTCCAACTTTTCCTCAGTGAATTCACATTACTTTTGTAATTAAAAAATGTGTGTTTTTTTGAAAAACAAATTAAATCACTGCATCTCTCTCTCTCTCAAATAGGTAAAGCTCTCTATAACTTAGAAACATACCGTGGCATCATCTGATCCTGAAGCAAAGGCATCTCCACTCGGGTAGTATCTGCAGAGACAAAGTTTGGGTTGAAAGTACTGTATTTAGAGTGGTGATTCCCAATTCTGAATGTCCATCAGAATCATCTGGAAATCATCTGGGAAGGTTGTTCCATGTGAGACCTATGGAATTGCAATGAGAATCTCCACTTCTAGGGACACAAGGACCACTCCTTACAGGGGCCAGGAAGGGAGGCTCATCTGGGTGGCCCACTGGCCTCTAGTTTTTTTCCCTATAGGTAGGGGACAGTGACAATGACTTAGCAGAATGTAGGTGAGGAGTAACTGAGATAATACATGTTTCTGCACCAGGCACTGAACACAGAGCAGGGCCCCTGTAGCCTGGGGACCCTGTAGCAGGCCCCATCAGTGTCTGATGATCACACACCTCATTCCTGGGACTTGGTTCAGCTCAAGGATAAGAAAGTGATTATCCACACAGATGCTGGAATCAGATATCCAGCACCTTGCTCATATCTCTGCAATGCTCACTTGCTACATGTGATACCTCTGGCAAAGGACTTCATCTTGCCCAGCCTCAGTTTTCTTATTTGAAAAATGAGGATGATAATGCATTTTCCCTGTTGTGGAGACTGAATAAGATAGTATAGGCAAAGAACTGGGCATGGTGCCAAATGAGAAGCATTCAGCAAATGATGGCTATTAATGTAACATTCATTGTCTTCTCAGTAATCAGGCTTCCTGGGGAGAAGGAAGTTTAAATTGAGACCTAATGGATGTTAGAGGAAAAGAGGTGAGGATAGGGAGAACAGCATGGGGGGGAGAATGTGCATTTTAAAGCTGTATTTTGCGAATATGTAGGTGTTCAATTTATTTTTGTGGCTTTATATTCTATCTGGATCTTACCAACTTCATTTATGATCTGTATTAGTTTTCTATGATTTTATACGTAATTACTGCACATTTGCCAAAATAAGTGTCTTTTCCTTTTATCTCTATCCTACAGTTGAGGGCAAAGAGCCAGAAAATTCTTACAAACATTTCTACTGCTCACATAAATAAGCACTGTTATCTTGTTCTTGCTTTTAAGGGGAACAAATCCAGTGCTTTCTCATTAAGTATAATGAAGATTTTTGGGTGATTATGTTTCAAATACCATCTTGACAGTGCCATCTTCCAAATTTACATGTCAAGTCCTCACCTCTCTCTTGGGATCCAGTTCATACATAGATCCTGCTACCTACTCAACGTCTCCACTTCATTGGATACAGGCACCTCAAATATAAATATCCTGAAACAGAGCTCCATCATCCATGTGCAATAACCGACTTGTACCTGCACCTCCTCTAGTCTTCCCGGTCTTGGTAAATGGATCACTGCTTACTGCCCCTTATAAAAGGTTTGGGTTCCCAAGCTCTGGTTTCTTCTCCTGTAATGCAACCCCTGGCCTGTGCAAGCATCATTTGGCTCTCTCCATTTCACCCTGTGGAATCAGGACTCAGGAAACCAGCGTAAAAAATGCTGATACCACGGCTACTGCCGTTGTAGGAGTAATAAACTGTCCTTCATCTTGAACCCAGGAGTCTCATGTCTTCTACCAGCATGCATGAAACTGTGGTGGCCTAACCTGATACTTGCAGGTAGGATAAGATCTCAGAAATGTCACAATTCTAGACATCTCTGTCTCCACGTCTTCTGTAGTTCCTTCCAGCCATCATTCACCTCTTTCTTGAACTCACACACTACAGCTTTCTAATCGGCTATCATACTTCCATTCTTGCTTTCCTACAATCTATTCTCCAAAGAGCAGCCAGAGTGATCTCTTAAAGGCAAAGCAGAGACCATGTCAGCCACCCCCTACCTGGCCTTTGGTTAGGTCCCTCTACAACTCATCTTCCTCCAGCTCTCTGCAAGCCTTGGCTCTTTAAACACTGCTTTCTCAGAGAGGCCTTCCCTGATCATTCTAAGTAATAATCCATCCCATCCCATCTGCTTGTTTTATTTTTCTTGCAGCACACTTATTACTACCTTAAATTAAGTTGTACATTTGTTTATTTGTGTTTGTCTTGTCTCCTTGTCTCTGGAACAATGTCTAGCATATAAGTCTCCATAAATATTTGCTGAATAAATGGATGGGAAATACTGATTCTGTTTAGGGAGGATAATATCAATTGCTCCTACTGCCATTAAATTAAAAAATATCTAAGATCTGGCATGCTATTCAGCACTACCACAAATCTGCCTTTCTTGCTAGAGAGACCTCTCTCAGCCAAGTAAACTGAGTCTGGAGGTGGTTCCTGGGCCGAGCATTGTCCCAGGCCAGGGATTACCAGCAGAACGGAGAATTTATGTGAACTTTCTACTCACTGACCGGACACTGTTGATGTCGGATTCATGTGTTTCAAAGGCCTGCACGCATTGGCCGGAGCGCATGTCCCACACCATGGCTTTCTTGTCACATCCCTACAAATGCAAAGTTACCCAGAGTTATGGCCACTGCAAGGACTGTGTACAGATGGGCATGGGTTCCTGTTATGTAACAGAGCCATTTACTTCCCATTGGTAAAGGTTGATAATATGCTTTTCTGAGACTAGCTTTCCTCAAGTGATGAGCTTTCCCTGAGAAAGCCAGAAGCAGGTCTTGGAGTGTAGAGGGGCAAGGGAAGGCACCCAGCTTTCCTTTTCAGCATGTTCTTTTTCTTTTGCATCTTTCCAAGTCGTGCAAACCCTCCAGAGCCTCCCTCTTGCTTTCCTCCTGGGCATGTCTCTCTCCGTTTTGTCTTCCCCTTCCTCCTTCCTCTTTATCTCTGCCTCCCAGCCCAGGGGGGAGGGCAGACATACAGTGGGTTCACAGTGGGACCGCCCAGCTTTGTCTCAGGTGTAGGGAGCAGCCCTGAGCAAAGGTGGAGCACCAGGTGACCCCTGGGCCATCTGTACCTCTGCAGCATGCCACTAGGCATCATGACCTCGCCATCAGTTAGCTGGACATCTCTAGCGAGTCACCATCCTGGGCTTCTGACTCAATACCTGTAAACCCCCTCTCTGGGCTGCCAACATGACCCAGAGAATCATAAACATGAGGTTTTCATATTATACTATTATGGTTCTATGAACATTTGACAAATTCCTGCAGAGTGACCCTGTTATTAAGCTTGGAGAATATAATATGGATTCTCAATAGCCAAATAGAAGAAGTAATGGCTTAAAATTGGTGTTCAAGTTGCTAGTTTTAAGAGAAAGAGTGGGAGGAAGTACCATAACTGGTAGCTCAGGAAAACCTGCTGCAGGGTTCAGCATTCTGATTATCTTTAATGAGAATGTGGACAAAGCAACCAGGAGTGTCTTCCAATCTTTTGAGGACACTAAATCAGATGGAGTTTAGTGCCCTGAAAGAGACAATAGAATCTTCAATGATTTTAACAATTTGAAAAGACACTGTAGCTGACAAGGCACAGAAATGAAACAAATACAGATGGGGCCAAATACCCAAGAAGGAAATGGGGTCCCTGCCAATGACAGGCCTCACAGCCCTCACCTGATGCCAAGCACTAAGACACGGGCAGCTTGGAGCAAAAGGCTCATGTGTTTTTCAGCTGCAAACACCACGTGACAGTGTGTCCAGCACCGTCCTCTCTCACCAGTGTCCTGACTAAAGTGAGACAGGACCTGAGTCAGGTTGGCCTGTTCAGGTTCCTGTTCGTATTCACTCCTGAATATGTGTAACACACGGTCAGCTCTTCCACCTACTGCTCATGATATCTGGGGGGAGTGGGAGTATTATTTTCATTATGCCTGATTTACACATGAGAATGTGTCAGCACAGCCAGGACCCAGGCATCCTCGTCAGTGTTCCTCTGTGCCATTGTGACCCTGTGTGCCTGACCCTGAACCTTTAGCTATTCTGTTCCCTGTTCCCTGTGGTGGGAGGGCGATAGTGACTGACAGGGGTGGGGCGGGAAGGTGTCTCACAAGCCCCAAGCCCAGATCACGCCACAGCACTGCCAACCTCAATAGCCATCTGACTGGCTTGGTAGCCCTATGTTTCATCTCCAGTGCTCTCAGATGCTAACTCTGCTATTTATCTGAGGAATGAAATTTTATTTATGTTTTATTTTTTATTTTTTAAATATTTTTATTTATTTCTAGGAGAGAGAGAGAGAGAGAGAGACAGCGTGAGCAGGGGAGGGTCAGAGAGAGAGAGGGAGATACAGACTCTGAAATAGGCTCCAGGCTCTGAGCTGGCAGTCAGCACAGAGCCCCACGCGGGGCTCGAACCCACAAACCGCGAGATCATGACCTAAGCGAAAGTCGGACGCTTAACCAACTAAGCCACCCAGGTGCCCCTGAGGAATGAAATTTTAAACTGTGGCAGATATGCACCTCAAGTCACAGCATTCATACTAGGAGAACATTCCAGATCCCTCGGTAGACTGAATGTCAGCAGCAGTAGACCCTCACAGCCTAGCACCCTAAGTGCCTACCACACAGTGCCACTGCTATGGGAGCCAGGTGTGGAAGTGAACAGAGGCCAATTCCCGCAGCCCCTTCTAGAGAAGTATCTGATCCAGTCCCCAAAATTGCCAGCATGAGCCTCCCATGGAGACAGAGGGCCCCTAGGGCTTTTCCTTGGGTGTTTACCCCAGACACGAAGGTGTTGCCTGTTTCCGAGGGGGCCAGGTCCAAGCAGAGTACGTCGGCCCCGTGGCCATGGAAGCTCTGCAGCAGCTGCCCACTCTCCACGTCCCACAGGGCACACGTGCCATCGCCGCTCGCCGTCAGGATCTATCCCCAGAAAAGGACAGGAAGAGTGCTGTTATTATGGCTTCTGTCAGGGGGAAGTCAATCAGATGTTTCAAGCGGGACGGGGAAAAGGTGCCTGCTTGAACACACACACGGACACATGCCTCGCGGGATATGTGGATTCAAGCACATAAATCTTTCTCATAGACTGAAGGGCAATCATTTTTGACAACCTCACTGTCCTTGAGATGTGTCTTGACACACCTGTCCTCTTCCGGGGTATTAAATTCAGAAGGTCTCCATGCTGTATCTGCAAGGCTATGTGCCTGCTGGTGTCCAGGAAGTGCTCTGTGCACATCTGTTGAAAAGCACCTTGGGCAGCTCCCACAAGCAGGCCAGACGCTCAAAGTGCTTCTCAGACATCAATGTGCTGCCCACCCACCTTGCTGCAGGTTCATATTGCACTGACCGGGGGCGGTGCTGAAATGCCACACTTCTCACACTCTCAGGTCATACCAATGCTGATAACTGGACCCCACCCAGAGCAGCAAGGGTCAGGCAGCCTTTTCTTAGACACATTCTCCTGTGGCTGCTTCTTTCCAGGGCAGGGTGCTGCCTGAGATGGTACTAAGGTCACTGATAAGGCTATACTCATGCACTCACATATTCAACAAGCATTTGCTGTGTGATGACGTCCGTCCGGGTGCTGAGCTAACAGGCACTGATCAGGATTTGCACAAAGATTGTGTCTTGATCTCTGCTCTCCTGGAACTCAGTTCAACAGACTTGGCTGTAAGACCTGACACCAACCTCATTCCCTACCCCTGTGTTAAACAATACTGAGACCACGCATACTTTCCCGGGCTATGTTCGACAATACTAAGACCAAGTAAAAACAATCTAGCTGCTGGCTCCAGGAAATACCTGCTCCTGCAAGATTAGACTGTAAACCAACTCAACAACTTACTTATCAAGACTAACAGCTTGCTCATCAAGGCTGACTTCAAGACCCCTACCTTGTGGGGCTCACCAATCCAAAGCTATTAATGTTAAACCAGTTTCCTGCCTGGAGAGACCCACCTTAAAATTGCCCAGCTTGGACCCCCAAACCCTCCAAATACCCTTCCCTGATTTCTTCATTTTGAGATGCTATGGAGACTTTGTCAAGTTTGGTTCTCCTTTTGCGGCACGAGGCCTAATAAACTTGACATTGCTGGATAGCAAGTTTTTCCAAGGATGAGGATCTCCGCAGACAAGATGAGGAATCACAATGGAGTAAGAAGTGCTGAGATAAAGGCAGGCCCATGGGAGGGGCAATCAACCCATTCTGACAACATCTGAGCTGGTCTTCAAGGATGAGTGAGAGCTGGCCAGGGGAAGGGGAAGGGGACCGAGGGCATGCAGGTGAAGGCCTATCTCTGCTCCAAAGGAGAGGTGTGCCTGGTATACAGTGAGGACTTAAGCCTGTAGGCCAGACGGAGCTGTGGGAAGCGAGAGGATAAGATCAAAGATATCTTAGGGAAATCTGTCTAAGGTCAGTGCAGCACCCCTCAAGCAGCCTCTTACAGGTACATAGGCCAGTCTTACGGAGAGAGGAACCCTGCAGTGCCTGGGGTGAGGGATGTTAGGGTTTTAACTTTTGTCACAGCCGGTGTGTGTGAGGCTTGGGCTCTAGCTGAGCATAGCCTCGTGGGGCTGGGAGAAAGGCAGTGGAGACCCCAGGATCGCAGCCTCTCAGCCCCAGCTGCCCGTACTGCAGGGCCCCGGGCAGCCTGTCCTAAGCAGGCATGGGCTGAAAATCCACAGAGCTGGATAGCACAGCCTCCCCACGTCCCACCTTCCTGCTGCTCCCAGGGCCTGGATGAGGTGACAAGAAAGCGCAGGAAGTGGCTCTTGAAGTCAAAGTGCCCACACAGAGAGCCCTCTGTGGGTGGAGATTAATGATGGCGGAGGAAAGCAAATGGGCTCCAGGGTTTAGGACTGCCAGCATTCAGTGCACCCACTGACCGCACTGCACCCCCAAATTCCTTCTGCTGGTGCTGTTCTCTCCTCCTCTCCTTGCTTCCTGTTCTCTTCCTTTTTCTCCTACACCCTGGGCCTAGCACTTACAGAGTGTATTTAGGAAATGCATTACAATGAGGGGAATCTGTTCCTACCTTGGCCTTGCGTCATTAAGCTGTACGATTTGGAATGTGTTTTCTGCCAGGCAGTCTGGGGAGGCCTAGAATCTCCTTGCAGCCAGGCGAAGCTGCTTTGGAGCTCTTCCCTGGAGCAACACCTGGGTGAGTTCTGAGAGCTTCTTGGGTGTAGCCTCCAAGGCCATCCTCAAAGCTCTCACACAGGGGCAGCTCTCAAATTTGGGGAATCTCCAAGGCTGCAAAGGGCCTGCAGCTGTCCACGGGACTCACTCCATCCTTGGCTTCCTTTAAGAGGCCTTCCTTTAAAAGGTAGGCAGCACCTGGGTGCTCAGTTGGTTAAGTGGCCAACTTTGGCTCCCGTCCGTGACTTGAAGCCCGGCATGGGGCTCTGTGCAGACAGCTCAGAGCCTGGAGGCTGCGTTGGATTCTGTGTCTCCTTCTCTCTTTTATGTTTTTTAAACATAAAAAAAAAAAGGCCCAGGTACACCTAACACGGTGACCTAGGCTGGTAAAAGTAGCTTATGAACAAACAAGACTTGGACTAGGTCTTAATTTGGGTAGTTATATCTTATATGCTATAATCCCTTTAATTTCTCCTGGCCCACACCCATTCCTGTCCTATAGGAAAGGGCCAATAATCTCTAATCTTCTTTGGGAAATTCAAACAATCTGTTTTAAACAATTATTTTACTCTAGCTCTTTGGGAATTTTCTATACCACATTCTTCAATCAAAGAAATGAATAGTTTTTAAAAGTTATACGTAAATCCTCAAGAGTAAAAGACATTTTAAAAATACTTTTACTATGTTTGTGATCTTCATTATAATTAAAAATAGAAATTAAAAGCCCAATGCTCATCACAATAAATGCACTAAACAGAACTCCCCGTCAGTCATTTATTCTGGAACGTAGAGATTTTGTAGGTTTAACACCATAGTCTTAGACCCACCTCTTGAGTTTTTCTTTTTCCATCCTTGATCCCCAAAATATAAGGAAGCTTAAGGTTCATTAAGGTACCTAAACCAGGCCATGCATCTGAATCAGCCAGGAAGCTTTGTGTAAATATTAATAATAATAATAAAGTAATAAAAACTAAAATTTATTGATAGTTACCAGGGGGTGTACTAAGTATTTTATGCAAATCATTTCATTTAATCCTCAGAAGCCCTTGTGAGGGAGGAATTCACTACCATTCTCACTTGCAGGTGAGAAAAATAAAACAGAATAAAACCCTGTTTAGGGTTGGCTGGTTTGAATACAGTGAAGCCAGGATTTGATCCCAGCTGTTTGATCCAGAGCGGAGCCAAGACCTCTACGCTGCTCTGTCTCCAGGGCTGTATCCCCACAGGGGTAGCCAGCAGGACCCTCTCTACCCTGGGCTAGCTGCTCGCTAGGAGGAAAGCAGTTTCTATCTTACAGATGCCCCATTTAATCTCCACCTCCAGCACCTGTGGTCACACAAAGCGAGGGTGATAGGACACCACCTCCTCAGGTGCCCGAAGACTCACTGTTCTTGCTTTCCTCTGAGCGCCCCTTCATCTACACTAAATGTCCTGTCTTGCTTTAGCTGCTTGTTCCTCAGGCCCAAAGACACCTGGTTCTGGCCACTGCAGCTAGCCCAGGCCACAGCACCCCCTACCGTACAGTCTGCGAGAATCCTGGTCATAAACAACAAGTGCAAACAGTGCATCCTCTGGTCAACAATTAACTGGTTGGTTACCCAGTCACCGGAGCTCCCTCCTGTGAGCCTCGCCTTCCCTTCTGACCTCAAGTCAGCTGAGCCAGGGTGGGCCACGGAAGGCTTTAATGTGACTCAGATGCTCTCCTCATTAAAAGAAACCCAAATCGGGGCTCCCAGATGGCTCAGCTGGTTAAGTGTCCAACCCTTGATTTCGGCTCAGGCCATGACCTCACGGTTCTTGAGATCGAGCCCCCCATTGTGGGGCTCTGTGCTGACAGTGTGGAGCCTGCTTGGGGTTTCTCTCTCCCCCTACCCCCACTCACACTTTCTCTCTAAAAATAAACATTAAAAAAAAAAAAGAAAGAAACCCAAACCTGATGTACCTCCTGCAATGGCTTTCTGTCCTTCTATAGGGTCAGCTCAGACACTTAGGGGGCCCTGTGATCTGGCCCTGCCCACCTGTCGGCTGCCTGCCTCCCACTGGGTTGCCCTCACATTTCATTGGCAATACCCACCCCCTTCAAGGCTGGCTCAAACAGCCCTATGCAGCAAGTCTGGGACCACCCCTCCCGCTCTGAGCTCTCAGCTTCCCCTGCTGTTCAATCACAGATGGTTTCCATGAAGGTCCTGAGAACAGAGGCCAGTGTCAGCGAGTCCACCCCCAGAATCGGTGGTATCCGGCAATGTGGGTGGTGGGCACCTACAAAAGTTTCCTAAATAGACATGAATGAATAAACAAAGGATCCTTTTATGGCTTGTTAAGAAAACTTAGTAAAAGTATTAAAGTTGGTTTATTCAAAGTATGGAAGAGATTTACTATCTGAAGTTTTTACTTTTGGCATCTGTTAAAACAGGAATGTAAAGTAGGCACAGTGAGGTGTGTAAAGTGCACAATGCTGAGGCTCAGCGGCTCATGTAAGCACCACTCAGACTGAAAGATAGGAATTGCCACCCAGTCAAAGATTCTCTTCTACTCCCATGACCACCAAGTCAATTAGAGGAGGATGTTTAATGTGATATGCAGTTTATCTCAACTCTATCATTAATGAATATCCCTGAGTTTCCTCATTTCTGATTTATTAAAAATAATGATAACCAATGCTTCCTCTTAGAGCCAGCTGCTGGAGCACACCTCTCCAGTTAAGATACCAGACTAGCAGTACTTACACTGCACAAAATAGATTTTAAAACAGAGAGGCACCTGGGTGGCTCAGCTGGTTAAGTGTCTGACTCCTGTTCTCAGCTCAGGTCATGAAGATCTCATGGTTCATGAGTTTGAGCCCTGCATCAGGCTCTGTGCTGACAGTGCAGAGCCTGCTTGGGATCCTCTCTCCCCTCTCTTTCTGCCCGTATCTCACTCGTACTCTCTCTCTCTCAAAATAAATAAACTTAAAAAATTAAAAAAAAAAAAAAAAAGACTAACAGGAGACAGAAGGGCACTACATAATGACAAAGGGAAAAATCCAGCCAGTAGATATAACAATTGTAAATACCTATGCACCTTCATAGGAGCACCTCAATAAATAAACATAACAGACATAAAGGAAGAAATTAACAGTAATATAATAATAATACGGGACTTTTAACATCCCACTTATATCAATGGATAGATCATCCAGAAAGAAAATGAACTGACAGTGGCTTTGAATGACACATTGGACCACACAGATCTAACATATATTTTCAGAATATTCCATCCTCAAACAGTGGAATACACATTGTTTTCAAGTGGACAAAGAACATTCTCCAGAATAGATCACATGCTGGTCACTAAACAAGACTCAATAAATTAAAAAAGATTGAAATCATATCATTCATCTTTTCTAAGCACAATGGTATGAAACTAGAAATCAATCATAAGAAAAAAATCTGGAAAGAACACATGGAGGTTAAAGAACAGGCTACTAAATTTAATGGATGGGTCAACTAAGGAATCAAAGAGGAAATGAAAAAATACATGGAAACAAATGAAAATAAAACACAACAGTTCAAAATTGTTGGGATGAAGCAAATCTGTTCTAAGAGGGAAAATTATAGCAATACAGGCATACCTCAAGAATCAAGAAATAGCTCAAATAAACAACCTAATCTTAGGCCCAAAGGAGCCAGAAAGAGAACAAAGCCCAAAGCAAGTAGAAGGAAGGAAATAATAAGAATTAGAGAAGAAATAAATGACATAAAGACTAAAAAAACAATAGAACACTGATGAAACCAGGAGCTGGTTCTCTGAAAAGATCGACAAAATCGATAAACCTTTAGCCAAACTCATCAAAAAAAGAAGAGAGAGAATCCAAATAAATAAAATCAGAAACGAAGGAGTAGAAATAAAAACTGACACCAGAAAAATATGAAGGATTTTTAGAGGTTATTATGAAAAATTTTATGACAATGAGTTGGATAATCTATAAGACATGGATAAATTCCTAGAAACATATAACCTTCCAAAACAGAATCAGGAAGAAATAAAAAACTTGAACAGGGGTGCCTGGATGGCTCAGTAGGTTAAGCATCTGACTTCAGCTTGGATCATGATCTCACAGTTCATGAGTTCAAGTCTCACAACAGGCTCTGTGCTGACAGCTCAGAGCCTGGAGCCTGCTTTGGATTCTGTGTCTCCCTATCTCTCTGCCCCTCCCCAACTTGTACTCTGTCTCTCAAAAATAAATAAACATTAAAAAATTTTAATAAAAAAATTAAAAAAAGAAAATTTGAACAGACTGGTTATTAGTAATGAAATGAAGTTAGTAATAATAATTCCCAAAAAACAAAAGTCCGGGACCAGATGGATTCACTGATGAATTCTACCAAATATTTAAAGACAAGTTAATACCTATTCTTTCCTAAGTGTTCCAAAAAATAGAAGAGGAAGGAAAGCCCCAAATTCATTCTACAAAGCCATCATTACCCTGATACCATATCTCTGATGAATAGAGATGCAAAAATCCTCAACAAAATATTAGCAAACTGAAACTGATTCCAACAATACATTAAAAAAAATCATGATCAAGTAGGATTTATTTCAGAGATTCAGGGTGGTTCAATATGAAACCTGGACATTAACAAGAGAAAGAACAAAGAGCTTATGATCATCTCAATAGATGAAGAAAAAGCATTTGACAATCTTCAACATCTATTCATGATAAAAACTCAACAAAGTAGGCTTAGAGGGAACATACCTCAACATAATTAAGGCCATAAATGAAAGACTCACAGCTGACATCATACTGACTGGTGTAAAACTGAGAGCTCTTCTTCTAAGATCAGGAACAAGATGGGATGTCTACTCTCAACCTTTTTACTCAACATAGTATTGGAAGTCCTAGCCACAGCAATCAGACAAGAAAAGGAAAGAAAAGGCACCCAAATTGGTAAGGAAGAAGTTAAACTGTCACTACTTACAGATAACATGAGAGTATACATAGAAAACCCTAAAGACTAGTAAAAAAAAAACCTACTAGAACTGATAAATGAATTCAGTAAAATTGCAGGATACAAAATTAATATAGAGAAATTGGTTATATTTCTATACACCAATAATGAGGAAGCAGAAAGAGAAATTAAGAAAACAATTCCATCGGGGGGCACCTGGGTGGCTTAAAAATCCAACTCTTGATTTCAGCTCAGATCATGAACTCACAGTTCAGGAATTCAAGCCTTGCGCTGGGCTTTGCATTTGTCAATGCAGAGAAAGAAATTACTGCCCATGTTTTCTTTTATGAATTTTATGGTTTCAGTTCTCACGTTTAAGTCTTTAACCCATTTTGAGTTTATTTTTGTGTGTGGTGTAAGAAAGTGGTCCAGTTTCATTCTTTAACATGTTGCTGTTCAGTTTTCCCAGCACCATTTGTTGAAGAGACTGTCTTTTTCCCATTGTGTATTTTTGCTTCCTTTGCTGTAGATTAATTGACCATCAAAGTGTGGATTTCTGGACTCTATTATGTTCCATTGACCTTTGTATCTGTTTTTGTGCAAGTACCATACTGTTTTGGTCAATATAGCTTTGTAGTATAACTTGAAAATCTGGGATTGTGATACCTCCAGTTTTGTTCTTCTTTCTCAAGATTGCTTTGGCTACTTAGGATCTCTTGTGGTTTTAGGATACAAGTTTTAGGATCGTTTGTTCTAGTTCTCTGAAAACTGTTGTTGGTATTTTAATAGAGATTGTATTAAATCTGTAGATTGCTTTGGGTAGTACGAACATTTTAATAATATTGGTTCTAGAGCATGGAATATCCTTCCATTTGTTTGTGTCGTCTTCATTTTTTTCATCAATGTTTTATAGTTTTCCGAGTACAGATCTTTCACCTCCTTGGTTAAGTTATTCCTAGGTATTTTATTCTTTTTGATGTAACTGTAAATAGCACTGTTTATTTTTAAGTTTATTTATTTTGAGAGAGAGAGAGCATGCATAAATGAGGGAGGGGGCAGAGGGGGAGAGGGAGAGAGAATCCCAAACAGTCTCTACACTCAACACAGAGAGCTACGTGGGGCTCAATCCCATGACCCTGGGATCATGACCTGAGCCAAAATTAAGAGTTGGGATGTTCAGGACACTTGGTTGGCTCTGCTGGTTAAGTGTCCAACTTCAGCTCAGGTCATGATCTTGCGGTTCGTGAGTTTGAGCCTCGTGACAGGCTCTGAGCTGACAGCTCACAGCCTGGAACCTGCTTCAGATTCTGTGTCTTCCTCTCTCTCTCTCTGCCCCTCCCCCACTCATTCTCTGTCTCTCTCTCTCAAAAATAAACATTAAAAAAAAAAAAGAGTTGGACATTCAACTGACTGAGCCACTCAGTGCCCCCAAACAGACTCTGAATGCAGAGAAGAAATGGCAGTTGCTAGTGGGGAGTCTGGTGGGGGGGATGGGGTGAAATAAAGGGTGTTAAGAGCACATTTATCAAGATGAGCAGTGAGAAACGCATAGAATTGCTGAATCGCTATATAATTATGTTGTATGTTAATAATACTTGAATAAGATAATATCAATGCCAATAATAATAGAGGTCACTGGAAAGCTTCCATTCTTCCTTAGCCCTCTGCCACTTCTGCTCTCCAGCGGGCTGCCCTACCACATGGCCACTCACTTACCTGCATGTCTGAGTTGGTGAAGCTGCAGGCGGACAGGTAGTTGGTATGCATAGCGACAGACTTCTTTTTGGCAGCCATGTTTTCATTTTTGTCAAACGTCAGTGGATACACGGAACACTTATTATCCAAACCACTAGCATGGAAAGAAAGAAGTGTCAAATGCTACTATAAGACAAGAGAATACATGTATACATTCTCATGCACACACATTTTTTTCCCTTTGGCAGCATCATACATTGTAAACTTTCCCCCAACTTTTACTTGGAAGATTTTTCAAATGTACAGTAAAATTGAAAGAAAAATAATAGAGTGAACACTCAGATCCCTTGACCTATGTTTACCAACTTTGGATTTGCCATATTTGTAGGAGCAAATTCTGAACCATTTGAAGGTAAGTGCAGACATGACATGTTACATCTAAATACTTCAATTTGTAAATTTACATCTTCTATAAAAAAGAACATTCTTCTAGGTGGCCACTAAACCATTATCACATTTAGAAAACTAACACAAATTCCCTAAGACCGTGCAATAAGCCATATGTATTCAATCTTCCCCAACTGTCCCCAAGATCTAGGGCCCAATCAAGGTTCACATATTGCACTCTTTTTTATATCTTTTTAAGATCTTTTAATTTTTTTAATGTTTACTTTTGAGACAGAGAGAGAGAGAGGAGAGAGAGAGAGAGAGACAGAGAGACAGACAGAGAGAGAGAACGCGCGCACAAGCAGGGGAGGGGCAGAGAGAGAGGGAGACACAGAATCCGAAGCAGGCTCAGGCTCTGAGCTGTCAGCAGAGCCCAATGCAGTGTTTGAACTCACAAGCCGTGAGATCATGAACTGAGCCACAGTTGGATGCTTAACCTACTGAGCCAGCCAGGCAACCCTAAGATCTTTTAATTTAAAACAGACTCTCTACCTCTTTTCTTTGTTGTTCATGACAAGAGAGCTTAGGCCAAGTGTCTTACAGAATGTCACACATAATCTGTACTTGTCACATTGTTTCTTTTTTAAAAAAATTATTGAGAGAGAGAGAGAGAAAGTGAGGGAAGGACAGGGAGGGGGGAGAGAGTATCCGGAGTGGGCTCTGTGCTGACAGGCTGACATCGGTGAGCCCAGGGGCCCCAAATTGTTTCTTAATGGCTATTTTCAAGTAAAACTTTTTTGGCAATAGTACTATGAAGGTGACATATATACTTCTTTCTTACTGCTTTATTTCAGGAGGTTTGTGATGCCAATTGTCTCAGAAGTGGTGATGCCAACTTTGATGACTTGGTCAAAGTAGGGAGCATTAGATCTTTCCATTGTAAATGTAACTTTTTTATAATTAGTAATAGTTTGGGTTTGACCCTTCAAGACCATGTGAATATCCTGCTTTACAACAGCCTTCCATGCAATGGCTTCAGCATGACTACTCTTGTTTGAATCAAATATTACTTTAGGGGTACAAAAGGGTGACCTTCTGATTTGATCATTCCTAAGAAATGGATCATTTACTAGCTGATATTTTTCTGTGAAGAAAAATTCCCCTCCCCTCTGTACACTCATAGATTCCTTTTCCTCTTCAACTCTGTTATGATCCATTACTATCACTATTCCATGTGATGCTCAAATTGTTCCAAAATTGGACAGTGGGGGCCCCTTCATGTAGCTCCTGTTTCCTTTTGATACGACTCTGTTGGTCCTTGAATATTTCCTTGCTTTCTGGAACAAGAAACACCCTAGGCTCTCTTTATTCTTTTTGTGTCCCAGACCTAAATCGGCCTTACTCCAAGGAGCCCTGCTTCCTTTTAGCGAAAGGAAATATTCCCCTCTTGAGGCCCTGGGGATGCTAGGGGGTCTCTTAGCCTTTCCAGCTGCTCAAAATGGCAGGTGTGGACTTGGGAAGTCTATTACCAGTAATCCATAAGCTTGTGGGTGAGAATGATTTGCAGTTAGGCTGTGCCATTGAACCAACATGCTGTGGACCATGGGCTTCCCCAGCCTTCAGGGTGCAAGTTCTCCCATGCTGAGGCTTCAGAGTAGTTTCTGTAGCTCTGTTGGGATACTTATTACTTAGAGTTATTTGCACTGCTATAAGAAGCAGAGAAGTTTGTAGTACGATGCACCTGGTATTGAATTTCTGGTTTAGTATCTAACTCATTTTGTGATCTTGCTTATGTTTTTTAAGGTTGTCTGAGCCTTAGTTTCCTCAACTATAAAATGGAGTGGATTCCCCCCACCTTCCACAAGGGGCTGTTGTGAAGATGCATAAAGAGTTCAGAATGGCCCTTGACATATGATAGAGGCTCAGTAAGTGGTCATAATTGTTATTTTATATTCTACTGGGTTGGAGGCAGACATGATGTTTGTTTGTTTATTTTAATTTTGAGTGAGAAAGTGCACATGTGGGTAGAGACAGAGGGAGAATCCCAAGCAGGCACTGCACTGTCAGCACAGAGCCCAAGGAGGGGCGCGATCCCAAGAACCATGAGATCATGACTTGAGCTGTAATCAAGAGTTGGATGCTTAACCAACTGAGCCACTCAGGTGCTCCTATCCTATTCATCTTTAAATTCCCCAGGACACTGAGTCCAGTGACTTGTGAACAGTTGCTTGTATCAAGTGTACAATTCCTGGGTAAAGTCTTCTTGGGGATCTGGCTTTCAAATAAAAAATACTTACATATAAATAAAATCAATTAACACATTTTTTTTGAGAAGAGGATTGTGTCAATACTGTTAGAGTTTGGCTTTCAAGTTTGGAAGCAACTCAGAAATAGACCCACTAGTCAGGCAGATGGAGATAAAAATATCCCCATTATTCCCTTAAAAAAAAAAAAAACCCAGCAGAGACTGTGGCAGAGATGTGGGTCTGTGTGATCACAGAGTTACAGGGGTGTCACAAAGCCATGGTCGAGAAACATCTTATTAGATCATCACTAGAAAAGCAAGTCAAGCACAGTGGCGATTGGCAGTTCTACGGAAGGTCTGAGCAGGGGAGGTGGTTATCTATGATGGGGACTCAGTCTCTAGGTTTTGTTTTTGATGCTCTCTCCTTATCCACTGGAGAAATCCACCCGTATTTTAAATATGTGTTAATATTTCACCAATATTTACACCATGAACTACCTTCACTTTTGTTTCATAACAAGGTGTGAGGCACCAAGTGCAGGTACTGACCACCTACCATATCCCAGGGCTGGGAAACAGAGGTGACTGAGATTAAGGCACCAGCCATCCCTCCTCTCTGAGATTTTTCTCTCTGCCAGACTGTCAACACAAATGTGTCCACCTGGGCCTCGTAAAATTGTTCTCTTCCTTGCTTGCCCCTCACCTTCATGGACATGATCCCACTGAGTTCCATTTAACGAGGGTTCAAATAAGACACAGCCAATAAAATCATTTTCTAAACTACTGTTAAAGAGCTTGCTATGTTATTATAACCATTGCATATTATAGAAGGATCTACCCAACATATTCTTTTTGTAATGTAGAACCAGACAGCTAGTAGCTCAGTGTCAGATACTGAGAAATTATCTAACTCACCCAACTCTATGTATCTGCTAACATCAATGCCCAGTTAGAAACCTATTACTCCAGGGATTTTTAAAATGTAGAGTATTTATTATTCCTAATGAGCAAGTACTGATCTTACCTAATAGGAGGTCGGCTTTTGCCTATGGCTACTGGGAAGTCATCTCTGAGTCCCAGGAATGGCCTGCCTGATGCGAGCAGCTTTGACAATAGTCTAACAGTGTGATTTATGATGGGGGCTTTAGATTGCACTGTGACTTCCAATCTCCTCCCTGTAAGTTGTGACCTCCTCTAGAATAAAGAGAAACTGAAGGTATTGGCCTAAACCTCTAGGAAACCCTGGAGACTGAGGGTCGGCCACATGGGCAGTATGTGACTGAGCCCTAGTAAACTCTCTGGACACCAGGGGCTCAGGGGAGTTTCCCTGGTTGATAATACTCCACGTATCATCACACATGTGGCCAGGAGGAGGTGATGCCATCTGTGACTCCACAGGGAGGGGACACCTGAAGCTCCAGGTTTGGACCCCTACTGGACTCTGCCCTGGGCACCTCTTCCTTTGGCTCTAATTTGTATCCTTTCACTGTGATAAAACTATGAGCCTATGTACAGCACTTCCCAGAGTTCTGTGGTGGTTCTAGAAAATTATCAGACCTGAGAGTGGTTGTGGGATCTCTCAAATTTGTGGCTGGTATCTGAAGGGCCACAAGTCTTGTGGGGACTATGCCTTCTAACTGTCCAGCTGGCTGAACTCCTTTGCACTTACCTGACAGTGTGTGTGTGTGTGTGTGTGTGTGTGTGTGTGTGTGTGTACACACATATATATTGTTTTATATATACAGCATATAGAAAAATGTTATATGTATATGGCATATATAAATACCTATATACCTATATATATATTGCATATGGATGTGTGTGTCTTTTATTGTGCTTACCTCATATCATTTCAAGAAGTAGATGGAAATGAATTTTATATAAATATTACCATTCGCTTATAAAATGGAAATACAACCTTTGGAATTATTTAAATAATGAGAAAATATGAAATACATGTGTGTGAACATGGGTTCCAAAGGCACACAGGGTCTTGGCAAATGGAGAGTTAATGGAAAGATGCCCCCAAACAGCCACCCAAAGGGAGGGACACTGCGGACGAGCACTGGTATGACTCTGGCTGGAGTAGTCTCCAAACGTTTTACTTGGAGGCCTAGGGTTTTCACTTTTGAAATAAAACTCTTTTCTCCTGATTATAAAAATAACATACACTCATTTTTAAAACTTGAAAATAGGGGAGATTATTTTTAATCCTATCATAGTCCTATCATCCACAAAGAACTGCTACTGGATTTTTTGGTATAGTTCATCACAGACATGTGACGGCCTCTTTTCTAAACATGGCTGGGCTCCTGCTGTAGAAACACTGTGAATGGTTCCAGAACCGTTTAACACAGGGACAAGGAGTTGTGTTGGTTGCAGTCCTCAGTGCCAACTCTGTTAAACTGAGCTCCAGGAGAACAGGGAATAAAACATAGTCTTCCCAGCCACCTGGATGCTTTTTTTTTTTTTTTTTAAAGTTTATTTATTTTGAGATAGAGAGAGAACCAGTGGAGAAGAGGCAGAGAGAAAGGGGGACAGAGGATCTGAAGCGGACTCTGTACTGACAGAAAAGAACCCAATGCGATACAGGAGTGCTGATGTATAGGGCCACATGTACCCCAATGTTCATAGCAGCACTCTCAACAATAGCCAAACCATGGAAAGAGCCTAAGTGTCCATCAATGGACGAATGGATCAAGAATACGTGGTTTATCTATATGATGGAATAGGACATGGCAATGAGAAAGAATGAATCTGGCCATGTGTAGCAACATGGATGGAACTTGAGGGTGTTATGCTGAGCGAAATAAGTCAGACAGAGAAGGACAGATACCATATGTTTGCACGTATAGGAGGATTAGGAGGAACTTAACGGAGGACCATGGGGGAGAAGAAGGGGAAAAAAGTGGGGGAGAGGGAGGGAGGCAAACCATGAGAGACTCTTGAATGCTGAGAACAAACTGAGGGCTGATAGGGGTGGGGGGGAGGGGAAGGGGGGTGATGGGCATGGAGGAGGGCACTTGTGGGGATGAGCACTGGGTGGTATATGGAAACCAACTTGACAATAAACTATTAAAAAAAGAAAAAGAAAAAAAGAAAAGGGCCCGACGCGGGGCTCAAACTCAAGAGCCATGAGATCATGACCTGAGCTGAAGCTGAATGCTCAAACAATTGAGCCACCCAGGCGCCTGTGGATGATCTTTTCACTTACTGTAATTAAGAAGTTTCTTTTTTAGAGGTTGTGTAAGGTATTTCCTTCATGTACCACAGTCACCGAACAATTTCCTTTGATGGACATACTGTTCTTCCCTACCTCCCCCACTTTTTGCTTTATATTAAATAATAAATATTTTAAACAATAGATATTATTGCTTAGGTGGATTTTCTATATTATGGATCATTCCTTTCAAACAAGGTTCTTAAATGTGGTATCACTAGGATCAAAGGTTATAAATTTTTCAAGGCTTCTTTTATATTACCAACAAGTTTTCCAAAATGTCTGCACCAATTTCCAGTCCCCACCAACAGCATTTGAGAATAGAGGGGGCAGGTTTGGAACTTAAATGACTGTCAGTCTGCAGTGAAAATATATAATTGTTAAAGAGATTTCTGTAGTTTCTTTTTTGATAAAGTTCAGGGAGGAATTTAACACACTGCTTAACCAGTAAACAACAAAAAACAAGAAGTTCTCGTTTGTTTGCTTGTTTCTGCCCATCGAACAGTATTTTATGGCTAACAGGACATCCGAAAAGCTGCTGTGGCCCCTACTTACCCACATGCAATGGCGCATCCTGACGGGGCATATGCACAAGCCATCACCCATGTGCAGGGCATCGTGACCGCGTGCTCCTGAAATACAGTATGCAAGGTTCGTGGAAGGAATGGGCAGTGTTTCTACACAAATGTGTTCACCTTTCATTTTCACAAAATGACATGACTCAAGTTCCTACTCAATTCCATTACGTTTCACAGGGCCATGGTGTGGGGTGAAGATCAGCTGGAGACTGATGAGGAGACTCAGCTCCCCTATAATCAGCCAAACTGTACACCGTATATTCCAAAAGCTAAAAATCTCAACCGGCAAAACAATACCCTTAATGTTCTACGTATTTCTTAATGGTATACTCCCCTTGTTCTTCTGAATGAATAGTGGGGCTCATTTTCTTTGAAAGGTCTGTCTGGGTTTCCCTGCAGTTATATACTTTACCCCACTTACTAAGATTCCCGCCATTTTCAAAATCTTGTCTTAAATGATTCCACATGTATGTTGTATGTGTCTCCTTGTGCGTGTACAACAGCTGCTGTGCCCGGTGGGTCCTGACACCGTTCGTGAGAAGGTGTGAGTGGGGGCGGCGTGTGCAGGGTGACCCTGAGTTGTGCTCACAGAGAACAGAGAACCATGAGAGGTGGGTGTAGCAGTTCCTGTTCCTGGCTGGTGGTGGGTGTGGTCACCCACATTGTCCTGCATGCAGACGGGCAAACAGTAAGGCCATGATTCAAACCCGTCTGAATCCATGGTCTTACTTCTACGACAGACATGGGCCCTGGTCCTGGTTCCAACACCAGCAAGACGTGCGGCCCCATGCGGGCCACCCATTTGTCCTCCCTCAGTCTCTCCCCATCTGTGAAGGGGGAGATGGGACTAGATGAATCCTTAAGTACATGTGAGTGCTGGTCTTCTTTCTTGTTTGATTCCCTGTATCCCTGTGTTTTTGAGGGGGGAAACATGGGCCCTGACTCTGCCCATGAAAATTCTGTCACTTGGAATCTACAGCCTTAAAAAAATTTTTTTAATGTTTGTTTATTTTTGAGACAGAGAGATACAGAGCAGGAGCAGGCAAGGGGTAGAGAAAGAGAGAGATGCAGAATCCGCAGCAGGCTCCAGGCTCCAGCTGTTGCCACAGAGTCAAACGCAGGGCTTGAACCCGTGAACTGTGAGCCGAAGTCAGAGGCTTAACTGACTGAACCACCCAGGCACCCCAGAATCTATAGCCTTTTAGACGCCAAGAATAGTCTGTGGCAAACGGCTGCTCTAGACACAGGGCACTCCAGGCGCCCTTCCTTACAAGTAATAACTACAGTCCCTGCCCGGGGCCACAGTGGCAACACCATGCCCCTAGAAAGCAGGCAGTGTGTGCTCAATGGCATGCTAAGTTAAAAAGAAACAACAAACCCCCCACACTCCTGAGGATGCTGAGGCATGCTAGGGGAAGTTGAGGCTGCCATGGAGGGAGGTGCTGGATAGGCAAGCCCTCTAAAAACTCTTAAATTGCCATTATTACTATTTCTCAGGGGCCTGACCATTAGGGACTCTGCTCCAAAAAATGGTTCTGCACCCTTCCCGCTCCCCACCTTCCACCTTGATCAGATTGTGTAGCAACTGCCTACTACAACAGCCACTAACTACATTCAATAATGCAGAATATGGATGCTGTTCGGTTTGGGGCAGATATAGATCTCTGTGTTTTACATAGTGAAAAAGAAGACTTTCTTTGTAAGTAAGTAACAGAATCAATATTTAATACATAATAGTCATTACCGTAAAGGGCAAAATGATGCAGGCTTGTAAGCACACCTATATATTGATTTTGGCTCTCCTCTTTAGCTAAAAGTCTAAATTCGGAGCTGAGCATGCCCAGGCCACACACACGATACTCAGCTCAATCCCCTGCGGCCACGGCTTCCCTGCCCACCACCTGCTCATGTCCACGGTGCTACAGAGACACAGGTCAAAGACACAGAAGGGAGAGAAACCTGGGGATTTGGGAACGTCTTACCATCCCTCAGAGGAAAAACAATACATGCCTGTGGGAATGTGAGAAGTTTTCCAAGCCAGGCCCTTTCCTGCTTTAGTGGCAGCACCCTGTCCGGTGGCTCCCCATGTTCCCGCCCCAGTGAGGGGTTTTGGCTCTTGAGAGGAATGGATGCTGCTGCGTGTTGCTGAGCTGTATGAACCCAGTTGGGTCTCTGTGGGCTTTCCATCCCCAGACGGGCACCCGAGAAGCAGGATGACAGTGACTGGAAGTGTCTGGAGGGGATGCGGACCCAGGGCTGGGGCTCTGAGGTACCACTCAACATGCCAGCGACAACACCTTACCTTGTTAGTGGTGAAGGAATCCCACACAATCACCTTGCCGTCCTGGAGGGAAAAAGAGTAAACAGCTCAGGAGTTGTCAGCCTGTCCTTACGGGGAAGTGCTGAGAATTGCTCATAAAAGCTGGGTCTGGCTGGACAGTGTTCAGGAGAAAGCCAGAGAGTATCTGGGTAATCAAGACCTATCCCTGAACAAAAGGGAAGTGAATGGGGGGCTGAACTGTCCAGTCTGATTGAAAGCTCAGTTCTCAACGTCATACACCTTGTTTAGATACAAAGACAAAGCAATGCTCACAGACTTCAGTTATACCATTTAGAAACCAAGCTCAAATTGTTGGTACACTATCCTCACCCACCATACCTGAACTGTCAGAAAGTGATACAGGGGTAAGACAAACCTGAAATGACTTCTAGGTCCCTGAAAGGTATGAATGGTCTCTTACTTTCTCCCTCACCACCTCCACTAGCCATCCTGGCTCCTGTGTACTGTGCTCTCCGCAGGGATGGGTCACAGCCTGACCCTCATCCCTGGCCCACTTCCTGGAGCTGTGCTGGCCCGAGATCAGTGTAAGGTTCCCACCCTGACATTGTGCACCCATGCTGAGAACAAGTCTATCATGGTGGGGATCCCCTGTGGGCAGCTGTCCTGCAAACAGAGAGCACTCCCTGTGAGGGTGGGCTCTGGGCTGGCACCAAGTTCACTGTCACCAGTGCTGCAGTCCACACTGGGACTGTGGGGAGTCAGCATGAGGTCATGTATTAGTCATACAAACCCACTGGGGATAAACCCTCATAAGCCCTGGTCCCTACAATGCAGTCACCTGCCCAGCACCTGGTATGCAGGTCCTCTGGGTCCCCTGGCTCTGCCCAACAGCAGAAGAGGGTGGCTGAGCTGACTCCTTCAGCACATGGGTCTCCCAAGCACCCTCAGGGATGGCGCGTCTAGACACAATAGAGCATCCACGGCAGGACTGGGTTTTGTAATCACTCAAGCTATTTGGAGCCAAATCTGATGAATGAGGTGAGGGTGGGGTAAGAGATGCCACTAAGGAGCACAGGCAAGGTCTGATTATCGAAAGGGACACAGCTGCTTGCTTTGCATGATCCACTGGAAGATTTCCATATTTCCACTGCGTGTGGCCGAAGGGTCCAGAAACAAGGTCAAAGAGAGCATTTTGAGGTCTTTCAAAACTCCTAAGCACACTGGTTCTTCTAGTCTCATTTCTCAGACTAAACGCCCAAGCACAGCGTATGGGGTAGATTAAGTAACAGAGCAGAGAAAAGAGAAGGGGCTCTAGGCCTTGGGGTCCTTCACACCTGGAGCCCCACATGCTGCACGGCGGGGGCGAGAGGGGAATGGACTCAATGCATTGTCCAAGTTTGCGTTCCCTTCGGTGGCTTCCTCCACCTCACTGCCTGCTTGCCTGTCCCCACCACCCACCCACTGTGTGCTCTGGAGAGAAAAAGGCACCCAAGAGGCTAAAATCAGTCATAAAACCAAATGTGGGCCTCTCTGTGAGCACAAATTTATACACCAGGAGCCCACGTACCTAGAGAGACCACCTCCACCCTAAACCCGAGCCCACACGGTCACGCTGATTAATCCCCTGCCTTCAAGGGAGCAGGGCTGCTCTGAGTCACTCTGTCTGCTCTAGAATGTTCCTGCTGTTTCCAGCTTCCTCCCACACCCACCCTGCTTCTAGTTTCTCTGCAGCAGAGGTGGATGGATGGAGCATGTCAGCAGTGTACCTCCTCCCTGAGGACAGTATTTGATTGACAGAAAATCCAACATATATTACATTTTTAAGGATAAAAAAAGCCAAAAAGGCTAGGCAGCAACATATATATCTTGATAACCACTTTGTAAAAAAAAGTCTACAAAGAAATGCTCTAAAATAGTAATAATGGCTGGGACCAGATGGTGGGAGTAAAATGTTTTCTTTGTTCTCTTTTTTAGCGTTTTTTTTTTTTTTAATGTGGTAGAACACTTAAGGGATAAATTTTTTTATGAACATAAAAGAAAGTAAGTACAACGTGACATACTAGATCTGTAGGTAATATAGGAGATTAATAATGACCTTTCTATTAATTAGATAATTAATCTCTAATATAGGAGATTAATTTGACCTGCATCAAATACAACCTGACATAGATGTTAGAATGTGTGGCTTATTTAGAACATGTATAGTTTTTTTTAATGTTTTTATTTATTTTTGAGACAGAGAGAGAGAGACAGAGAGATGGAGCATGAGTAGGGGAGGGGCAGAGAGTGAGGAGACACAGAATCCGAAGCAGGTTCTAGGCTTTGAGCTGTCAGCACAGCCCTCTGATGCAGGACTCGAAACCACAGACTGCGAGATCATGGCCTGAGCTGAAGTTGGACGCTTAACTGACTAAGCCACTCAGGCACCCCTAGAATATGCATAGCTTGTATACTTAAAAGGGCTATTTAAAAAAAAACCCAATTGTCCTTTGGAAAAGCTGGGCTGAAGGCAGGAATATGAGGAAGCCCAAACTGGCTATAAAAATATATGACTTCAGTTTATAGTTTTATATTCAATGCATATTACATCAAAATAGACATAAAAAGTATCAGGCAGTGATAAGCAGCCTCCTGATAATCATACTTTTGTACAGGCCTCTCCCGCATTATATCAGGGTTGGTCCATGTGACCAGTGGAATATAGCAGAAGTGATGAAATGTCACATCTGAGGCCAGTTCATAAGAGACAGCATGGCTTCTGCCCCTTCTCCCTTTCGCGCTCCGGGGAATGCCAGCTAATATGTCGTAAGCAGCCCTCTGGAAAGGTCCACATGGTGAGGAACTAGGGCCTCTAGACAATGAGCCATTTTGGATGGGAGTTTCTGCCTCAGTGGTGCTGTGTCATGATTGTGACCTCATCAGAGACCCTGAGCCAGAACCACCCACATAAGCTGCTCCAGATTCCTGACTCTCAGGAACCAGAATAAATATCTGTTGTCTTAAGTTGCTAAATTTGGGGGTAATTTGTTATACGGGCCTAGATAACACTAATATGTAAGATATAAAATAAACTGTCAATGAGATAAAAAGAATGGAAAAAAATATCCTTTACAAAATATGTATCTTAAATTTGTTGTTTAGGGGCACCTGGGTGGCTCACTCAGTTAAGTGTCCAACTTCAGCTCAAGTCATGATCTCACAGACTGTGAGTTCGAGCCCCATGTCAGGCTCTGTGCTGACAGCTCAGAACCTGGAGCCTGTGTCAGATTCTGTGTCTCCCTCTCTCTCTGTCCCTCCTGCATTTGTGCCCTGTCTCTTTCTCTCTTTAAAAAATAAACAATAAAAAAATTTGTTTTTTTAGGCACAGAAATTGCTGAACTCTTAAACTGAAAGAACCCATAAGCACTTATGTCCTCAATTTTTGGGGAAAAACCCTCTATCTAAAAATGGTTTCATTTACAAATAAGACCTTGAAATATGTTCAGGAAGAAGTAATTTTGAATGGTTTGTCAAATATAGTTCATGTTTCAGTTATTACCACTTCCAAATCTACCCAAATGAGTGATGTTCTACAGTATGCAAAAGAATTCTTAACTATGCTAACTCATGTCCTGTGGAGAATAAACGGAGTCCTAGAGATTGGGAAGGCCTTCTTGAAAAGGAAAAGCTCTCTTTCTTCTTTCGCTATAAAGTCAGACGCATGCTCACCATCAAATAGCAGGTGCCACGTACCTGGGATGAGCTCACGATCCTTCTCTTATCTTTGCACCAGTCCATGCAGAGAACTTTGTTCCCATGGCCTTTGAGGGTCCTTCTGGTCTTCATGACAAACTGCCCCAAGGCCTCCACTCGCTCCGCAACCTGGTGTACTAGAAGGACAGGCGACAATCAGTTCTGTTGCCAAGGATCAGATTCTGAGCCACACGCTGGCAAAGGGATGACACTGGTCCTTCTCTGTGGTCACAACTTGATTTTCCTGTTCTTTACTATAATGTCTTCACAATGCTCTCTCTTTTGAGCTCAGTGGAGGGTAGAGACAACACTGTCGTTCTGCCTTCGTGTTTAATACCCTACGTTTTTCAAAGCACTTCCATCTCTGTGTGCTGAGGGATCAACAATATGACAGCCTCATATCTACAGACTATATACCTTCTGCTATACAGAATTCTCCCACTGCATGGCAGCGGCAGAGTGAGATCACTGTCCCCATTTAACAGGTGGGGAAACTGAGGCTTACAAGAGTTCTTTGGCTAAACTCATACAGCTAACTGGGAGCAAAGCCGGGGTTTCCGGTTCTTTCACCTACCTTTCCAGTCACAAGGAAAAGTGACTTTACAAAAACTGTCCCATGAGGTGCCAGCAGGCACCATGACTCCTAACTGATCCCCCCCACCCCCCCGCCCCTTACCTAGCACAGGCCAGGGACACGTAGGTGCTCCATTCATGTGCTGCAGGCGAGAATGAATGAGGGAGCCACCGGTACAGCCGTGGGTTTACTGAAAACTTACGGTGTCAGTAGACAGCAATATTCTAGCGATATTTAGAAGTCTAAACACATGACCTGCAGAAGGAACGGACGCCAGGGAGGAGCTCCAAAAAGGAATCTCTCAGGGGCTAGGACTGTAGCCTCTTTCTTGAAGCAAAGGGAGAGCTTTCGAGGGGCTCGTCTTAGAGGCTATCACTGTGGAGTATCAGAAGGAGCCAGGTTCCCACAAAGAGGCTGTGTCTAGTCCAGGCCCTGCATCCAGAGGTGAAGAAACTGAGGATGGGGGACCCCACGGCTTCTCCCCCTTGTGCAGTGCCACTGCCCTTCTCATTGGAGGCTGAGCCAGAAGGAAAACTGGGGCTCCTGACCCCTCTCCACTTCTCCTTCCTCCAAACCTCCCAGCAGGGCCTTTCCCCAGGCGGGTGGGAAGCAGGAAAAGGGGCATTTGAGGCAAGGGACGGCCGAGGAAAGGTGTGGTGTCTCAGCACAGCAGGGCAACGCAGGTGGCGGGAGGCACCGTGGCCGGCCCTCCTCCTTCCTGGGAGCTGCTGGAACTTGAGAGGGAAATGCCACCTCCCTCGTGGGAGGCCCAGGCAGAGAGGGCAGACTGGACTGTAGTTCAAGCCAGTGACAACAGAGCCATTCTCAGAAACCCACCGTCCCTGGCCGGCCCTCCCTTCCTTCTCTCTAAACACTGCACTGTGTAATTCCTAAAAACAAGGCACTCCCTTACATAACCACAGTATATTATCAAAGTCAGAAAATCAACACTGAAACAATACTACGTCTAATCTATAGACCTTCCTGAAAGACTCTCCATTGTGTCAGTAATGGCTTTACCGCAGAAGAAAACCGAAGGTCATGTGCTGCACTCAGCTGTCATGTTTCTTTAGGTTCGTGACTTTGTTTCCCAATGTGGGCTTGTCTCTTGCTTCCTCAAGGTTAGATTCAGGTAATATGTGTCTGGTAGCAACACCACAGACTGATGTTGAGCTCCTGCCAGCGCGCCTGGTCAGGAGGCACCTGTTATCCATTAGTCCACCGTCACCGGCACTGTTCATGCTGACCATTTGGTGAAGGTGGTGTCTGCCAGTGTCTTCACTGGACAGTTACCATTTTGCCTTTTGTAATGATGAAGTGTCCTGTGGGGATGTACTCTGGGACTATACAAATACCCCGTCACTCTTCAAACTCTAGTTTTATCATCTGTTAATGATTCTTGTTAGAATGGCTTATGATGATGGTTAGCAAGTGATTTTCCTAATGCCATCATTCCTTCTGCTTTTTTAGGTGGCTTTCTAATAAAAGGAGCTCTCCCTCCCCTCCAATGTATTTATTCATCCATTTATATTAGATGGACTCATGGATTCTTACCGTAAGAATTATTATTTATTTTGATGCTCAACTACTGCCCGACTTGCTCATAGGGGCCTGTCAAGCAGGCTCCCGTGACCTCTGACATGACCTTCTGCATCATTCCCTGAGAACTTATGATAGACTCCCATTCTTTCCCTGCTCTGGCCTTGGAATCAGCCACTTCTCCAAGAAGTCTTGGTTTCATGTAGTTGCCCCATTTCTTTGTGATAAAAGAACAAATGTGTGAACAGGTTAAAAGTCTCTGTGGAAACTCAAACTATAAAAAATACTTGCTTAATTATAAAGTACTACATGAGGGGTGCCTGGCTGGCTCACTCGGTGGAGCGCACCACTCTTGATGTAACTTAGAGCCCTACGTTGGGTGGAAAGATTACCTAAAAATAAAATCTAAAAAAAAAGTACTACCTGAACATGCAGTTATTATGCTATCACTTCTGCTAAGACTCTGTATTCTTTTTTTTTTTTTTTAACTAAAAATGATTTTATTTTTTTCTTAAAGAGTTTATTGTCAGGTTGGTTTCCATATACCACCCAGTGCTCATCCCCACAAATGCCCTTCTCCATGCCCATCACCCACCTTACCCTCCCCCCCACCCCCATCAGCCCTCAGTTTTTTCTCGGCATTCAAGAGTGTCTCATGGTTTGCCTTCCTCCCTCTCCCCTACTATTTTTCCCCTTCTTCTCCCCCATGGTCCTCCGTTAAGTTCCTCCTATTCCACCTATACGTGCAAACATACGGTATCTGTCCTTCTCTGCCTGACTTATTTCGCTCAGCATAACACCCTTGAGTGCCATCCACGTTGCTACACATGACCATATTTCATTTTTTCTCATTGCCATGTAGTACTCCATTGTATAGATAAACCACATCTTCTTGATCCATTTGTCAGTTGATGGATACTTAGGCTCTTTCCATGTTTTGGCTGACACTGCATTCTTTATTGTCACAAACAACACATGAGTTTTTTACAGATGCATTCCTTAAAACATACTGAATATAGTTTTAAAAACAGAGTATAGGCCCTTTACACGTCTGTACCAGCTCAGAGTTGTGAGCTTATATTATTTAGTATTTTACTTTGACACTTCACATCGATATTCTTCCTGCATTAGGACAATCACAGCTATTTAATGTCCCTCTCATAAACATAAAAAAATTTTTTTAATTAAAAAGGTGAATCACTTTACCTATATAGGGCCCTCTTTACATAATGTGAATCTGACCATATCCCAACTATTAATTATTTTTTCTCACTGCATTTTCCCATCCCATACATAGATTTATTCCCAACCCACTCATCCTGTTTCTATCTGGCAAATCTCACATCTGTTAAATTAAAAAGTTACAGCTTTTTAAATGATGCCTCTAGAACCCCCACTATGTGCCAAGTACTATGCTGGATGCTTGGGTACAGAAAAGAGTAAGACAGTCCCTGCTCTTATGGAGCTCACAGTGTGCAGGGGGGAGACAGGCCCGCACACAGATCACCATGGCAGTGCGGGTGACAGAGGTGTCAGGGAGCCGAGGGTGACAGGGCTGACTGCTGGCAGGTGTGCCATCAGAAGATGTCAGAGGTACCTGGTTTTGAAGGATCCATAGGAGTTGGGGTAAGGAACGGGGAGGGAGGAAGCTAGCTTCTCTATATCTCTGTTTCTTGTTCAGTGAAATAGAAGACACCGCTCTGATCCACTGAGGTATTCTGAGGTTTAATGCAGGAAGCGAATTAAAGTGCCTAATAGGCACTAACAGGAACCAAAGACGTAGAGCTGGGGTCCTAGGGCCTGGGAAATAGAAAACTGGAAACAATGTAACCTGGAAGGGGGGGGGGAGGGGTTCTGACATGGAAGGGCCAGAAAACCTTTTGTGTTGGGATGAGAGAATGAGAGATTGGAAAGAGGAGGTTAGGGACAGGGAGAAGGATTTTTCTTGATTTATTTTAATATAATTATAGAAGAGAATGCACACCCATTGAAAGTAATTTTACATAGAAACATGATCACTTACAGCCCTGCCTAGCCTGACCATTCTGAACAGGTGGTGTGAATCCTTCCAGGTCCTTTGTCTGCACACGTGTGCACAGGTGTATACGTGTACAAACAGACTACACTTCACATACAATTGAGGGAACCAGTGTTTTCATCTGACATATTTATGGATGTCAATGTCATATAGACTTGTCTGTCACTTTAAACGACTATATGACATTCCACTGTATGGATATACCACAACCCTAAAATTCCCTACTGGGAGGCACTTTGTTCTACGGCTGCCTGGATACCTTTGCACTGCATTACCTCCTTAGATAAATGCCAATTCATGGCATTGCTGAGTCAAAGGGATTGCACATTTTTAGAGGCGTTCAATGCACCTTGCCAACATCTGCCACTTAGTGCACATTTCCTAGGGGGACAGGTGCTGGGCTGAGGGCTTTACACACAGCCTGAGGACACAGGCTAACCCTTATTTCTACAAAGAAGGAAGGAGAAGCTCAGAGAGGCTAAGGACCTTATGTACACTCAGACGCCTAAGAAGAGAAAACACCTCCTATAGTGGTATAAGTTCTGGGCAGGTACCTCTAATACTTTAGAAAATCAAGGACAAAGTGAGGTGGTGACAATGGCTTCTTAGTCAACCCCAACATTGGATCCCCCTACTTCCTGATATAATCAGAGCAATGGATCTGGGTTAGGGACTCTAACCCAAATCAAAAAATTCATCCTCATCCTGGTTCTGCCTCTACCCAGCTGGGAGACCGGTGCAAAGTTAGAACCAGAAGAGAAATTAGTAAATCAACAAGTCAGGCTGAGCACCAATCCTAGACACCCTGTGCGGGGCACCAGGCGTGCTGCTGGGGTCTGGTGCCTGGGGTCTGGCAAGTGGATGATGCAGGGGTTTTCAGTTGCCATCAGCTCCTCCTCCTGTCAGCCTCTACTTTCTCTTACAGACAGAACCCTACTAGAAGTCCAGGGCAGAAAATAGCCAGAGCTAAGCAGAGCTGATGAATG